CTACACGCTGCAGGAACCACACGAGCGTATCCGCAACTTGAACGATTTTATGGAGCGTCTTTTGGGGTAATTGATCTGAAGTTCTAAACCTCAACTAAACTTCAGCTCCTGTCAATACGGTTGCATAGGTTTACACTAATTACGGGTATTCCGAGCGCGAAGTGATGCAGTTAAGCCTTCGTCAAGAGCAGATTAAATATTGTTTGTGTGTTGTCCACGAAACGTTTACCTAATACCACTTATTATTCCCTTACATCTCACAATCAACCGTGGGTGATTGCACTCCCGGGATAGTGGAGTGTGGACCATACATGGCCGGTTTCGCTCGTTGAAATACCCGTATATCGAAACGGACCTGCAACATATATGTCTCGCTAACAACCTCTGCGTATGTTTTCTTCAGAAACGCCAGTGTGGAGAAGTTCATCCAACACTGGGGAATTGGCTTCGATAATAACTTACTTGAAGTTCGTGGTCGTCAGCTGAAACCAGTTGCGTTGCTTCAAGGAACTAGGAAGGTAAATTTTGAATGTATTTTGCAGAGTGATGCAAACGTAATAAAATTGTAGGAATCCACACTCAGAATATCAGAAAATCTTCTTAGGAGCTGTGTGCAAAATACACTGCACTCTTGTTGTACAAAGTGGAACTTGCACAGCTTGTCCAACAATTCAAATTTCTAGATTTGTAGCGTACGATGCAAAGGACGCGCGTTGGCTGAAGGAGACAGCGGATAGGGTCACTAATTGATAAATATTGTATTGTATTGCATTGATTGCATATGGTGACCTGCCATTTCGTCGACCGACACTTCGTCGAACAGAAGCAATGTCGACCGGTAACGAGGTCGAACCACCGTTTGGCTAAACTGCCTCAGTTTCTTGGGTTTTCTTAGGTTATTTAAGTCTTATACTCCTAGTTTTCTCAGGTTCTTAGCTTTTCCTAGCCGTCGCCTTCGTGACGGTCGACGTAATTCGGTCGACCTTTGTGACGGTCGACGAAATGTCGGTTTGCCATTGCATAGATATGTGCACAGTCACAGATATGATCAGATGTCCATTTAGATTTTAGAAGGTTATCACAATTATATTTTTTTAAAAATTTCAGATTACTTACGGCGTGAAGCACGCCGATTGGCAGAAGGACATTCGGGCATCTCGATTTCACGCGCCACCATCGGTGATGCCTGCCGATGGAGTCATTTTTGTGTACCCGCGATGCTTCGAACGCGGAGCCAGGGATTTGTTTGAGATGTTATGTGAAGTTAGTGCTCCCATGGCGATACGCCTGACGCCGCCTGCCACGTAAGTTGTCTCTCACTTCGTACAAATTTAGATGTACCAATAAGAAACGAAGTAGATGTTTCGTTTTAATGTACCGCGAACTGCGCAAACCGGCATTTCTTTGTTCGAACGGATCGAACCCAATCCTGGCGATTTATTCGTATGGGATGTGTTCCGGTTGCACACTGCTTGATTTTATTACCGTCTTATTCTCACACTACAGAGTTCTTCTTCTGTAGTTCTTCGACGTTTTTTGTATTTCGGACGTTATAGAGTATGGATTGACGTACCGAACGTCTGAGACAGGGATTTCTCCGCGTTGCTCCAGATGACAAAAAACTGTTCGAAATTGATTACGCAGTAATAATTAATGTCTTTTGCACAAGGTGCACACAAGATAATGGAAATTTATCAAATTTTCTTACGTGGAACGACACAGATACTACCCTTTCTGAGCTGTCTCTGGTGTACGGTACGCGAATCCGTGTAGAGTGTCCGAAATGCGGTGAACGTCGAAGTACAAAAATTTTGAGCCGCGGACGGATCGACATGTTTTCATATTTTTTTAGTGAAACTGAGAAACTCTCTTTTACAGATATTCCTACGAGTGTGACCGGGACATTCTGCACATACTCCGCAGTGCTGTGCAAACGAGCGCTCGATTGGTAGGACGAAAAATCAAGCGTCTTTGGCACTATGCAATAGAATTAAAATTGTTCGATTGCCAGTGGAAATGTAATCGTTTTTTCTCTCAAGGTTATTGTAATTTTGGCGCGTTATTCGAAGCCAATATACGATGGCGTCAAAACCTTTCTTTGCTGCGACGTGCCAGGTACGTTAACCATCACAGACGAATCTGACCATCAGGATAACGCAGTAACAGCCTAATTCTGTACTACTCAGAGTGTTTGTCATGCCTGTTATGGAAGCAGCTTTGTTTTGCAGTTATTTCTCAGTGCGTCGTACAGAAGACGCTGGAGAAGCAGGGGATGCTGAAAAGTGTGGCGACGAAGATTGCTGTGCAGATGGGTGGGAAATTGGGTGGAGCGCCATGGGCACTGGATATGACTCGCTATGCAATGGTAAAACCGTAATGAGACAAAATCTGTGCTTCGTTTCTCAGTAGTTTTTCTGCCACTTTGCCTACACTTGTGCATAAACTGGCCACCGGGCACCACTAATGTGGTGGACTTTTTGAGGGGAATGTGCCGGTTGTGGTACACGGTGCCAAATTTCAGTGCATGTGCGAAAACTTCAACGCACTCCCTAACAAACTTTTGCTGCATTGTTTGGTACCACTCGGCAGCCAAATGATGTGCACATGTGTACGCTAGCCTGAAAACTGTCTGCGTGGGTAATCTACGGTTGGGAAAAAAACTCAAAAGGTTGAACCACGGCGGTGTATTAAAAGTCTCACTGTCTATGTACATGTAGATAATTTTTATTAGCAGAAGCCAGTTAGAATGCATGAATTGCAACAAAAAGAAATCGTAGATTATGAACTAATCGTTATACCGGTCCGGTACCAGTTTTGCATGAACGTGCGCTGAAGATCGTGTTGATGGTTAATGGTTTTTACGTCAATGCGTTCCAAATATTTGGCTATGAAATATCGTAGAATAATGCAAAAAAGTGACTGGAAGTGCGCGAAAGAAACAGCTTTCGTTCATGTACGCGAGCTGCTTCCCCTAATATAAGTATTAACCGTCAATCACGAACGCTGCTTCTACTGCTTGTGGAGTGGATGTAATTTGAGTATGCAAATTTGATTATTTTTCTCAAAACTTATCGATTACCTATGTGTTTTCACTAAACAAACGATGACTTCTGAAAACGGTTTCGTATCGCAAATTCCCAATTAGGATGTGTGGTGAACAGTTTATAAGTTTTTCTACACGTACAGATAGTAGGCAAACTCGCAAAGTGACCGAAATATGCGAAAAATGAAGGATGCAGCAGTAAGCTAGTAATGTGTAGATAGAAAATAGAAGCATACAGAAATTTATTACATACTTTTTTTCCAGTATGCTAACACAATGCTTATCGGGGTGGATACGTTCCACGATTCCAAGAGCAGGGGTGCTTCCCGATCAGCAGTTGCGGTCATTGGCACTTCCGATAGCTCCGGCACGCGTTGCAGCAGTAGCGTGTTTTTCCAGTCTTCTGGTCAGGAAATCAGTGACGATTTGGCCAATGCTGTAACTAGTAAGTTCAGTTCAACAATCCTGTAAATGGGAAACTGAAAATTTTACATGTCATCAATAATTTTGTGCATGTGCAGAGCTCATGGACCGCTTCCGCGATAGGGAAGGGGATTTCCCGGAGCATGTAATTTTCTACCGCGATGGTACAAATTAATGTTAAAATTACATAAAATAGCACTACCTAAAATGTTTTCAGTTTTTTTTGGAATGCTTTTCTGTCATTAGGAGTTGGAGCTGGGCAGCTGGAAGCCGTACAGAACAACGAAGTGCGAGCTGTTGTTAAAGCGGTAACACAGGCAAATCCGCGGTAAGTGATTCGAACTGCGGTGTCAAGGATTAGTTTAGTTTTCCCAAAATGTACCGTGTCATAACACGGTACATTTTGGGAAAACTAAACTAATCCTTGATAGCTGTATAACTTTCTCTAAAAACTCGGTGAGGAATGTAAGGGCGCAGCACATTAGTTCCGTAATACATCAAGTCGACGGTAGTGCTTTTTCTACGGTATAGGACCCGCTGTACACTAGGGTAATTTCTTGCGTAAAGGCACAACAAAAAGTGCAAATTCATGGGTTGTGTATGCTGGGTTTCATGGCAGGATTCGCTATGCAACACTGTTAGCGCATTAAGTGCCGATGCACGTTGCGATTTCAGATATTTAAAACCCGTACTGTTAAGTAAGACCAACCGTAATCGCCTGGTGGATGATGGCAGGACGGTGTAGTAAGAGACGATCAAAATGCGCAGCGCCGTTAGTCCTTACGATAAACGCTTTGTGATGGTCATCGTTTTAAGCAACATCGCGATACCTATACGGCTATACCTTCGCGCAAGAAACTACCTATACGAAGTACACTACCCGTATAGTCGCTTAAGTGAAACACTATGTTAAGTGAATAGGCGATGGTCGTTTAAGTGAAACACCCGAAATATTTCATTCCACAAACCGATTTCCTTCTGGTTTTCTTCTTTACCCGATAGAGCTAGGCGTGCTCTTCACATAGTACTTGAAATTATTTAAAAAACTTGAATCGTTTTCTTGCAATTGCGTCGGTAAAAAAACAGTGACGAAACGCTTAAGCCACGCCACCCGAGCCACTGCACTACGCCATGATAATTACAGTCAATACCTCACATGTGCGGCTGCGCTATTTAGTTCAGATTTGTTTGTTTCTAATGCGAGTTATTTCTTTATTTCTTAAAATTATGCTTTCTGGAGTGTGATACTGAATGATAAACAGTAATATGGATAAACGTATAATATCAGCTTGTACTGACGTGAAAGAAAAAGGGCTTTCGCTGAGGGAAGCTGCCAACATGCACGCTGTCCCAGTGAGTACTTTATACCGACGTCTGAAGAACCCCATGCCACAGCCACACGGAGGACACACTCAGCTGTTTTCGGAGTTTGACGAAGAGGTCCTTGCGGAGTTGTTGCGGAAGTACGAGCAGTGTGGAGTGGAGATATCTGCTAACAAGTTTTTGGCTATTTGCAAGGACTATGCAGATAAATATGGTACGAATTCGAACTCGTTCCCTGCTACTTACAAAATCTTTATTTAGCTGCATCTGTTTCTGCTGTTTGTCAGCCATCAAAGGAGGGATTAATAGCCACTGGTTATCACGATTGTGTACATATGCAGTCTTCATAGGGGTGGCGCAGCCGCACGTGTGAGGCAGTGACTGTAATTATCATGGCGTAGTGCAGTGGCTCGGGTGGCGTGGCTTAAGCGTTTCGTCACTGTTTTTTTACCGACGCAATTGCAAGAAAACGATTCAAGTTTTTTAAATAATTTCAAGTACTATGTGAAGAGCACGCCTAGCTCTATCGGGTAAAGAAGAAAACCAGAAGGAAATCGGTTTGTGGAATGAAATATTTCGGGTGTTTCACTTAAACGACCATCGCCCATTCACTTAACATAGTGTTTCACTTAAGCGACCATACGGGTAGGTGGTAGGGCGTTCAGTGCAGCACACGCTTTCCCTCACGAAACCACGTTTGATTCTCTCCTTCAAATTTTCGTGTTACCGCTACCTTACTCAATAGCGTACCGCGTAAATGACTCTGTTCGAGGTTTATCACGTTGCTGTAGTAGTTCACCAGTTTTTGGAACTGCGCAAGTTTCTTATTTTGTATCGTCACAATATTTTCTGATGCGATTTTGTAGAGCTAAGCTCACCTTTATCATCGTGACCAAAAGTCACAATACCAGATTTGTTGTGGACACCCCTGGCAAGAGAATGCCGTTCGTGAATCCTCTGCCGGGAACTCTCGTTGACCAGGCTGTTACAAAACCTCATCAGTAAGCTGTATCAGTACATTTTTCTAATTGTTATACAAGGATTCTCCAGTGCTCTAACGATGACTGGAATGCTATGTAGAATGGACTTCTACCTGGTAGCGCACTCTGCCCCCCGGGGTACGGTGGCGCCGACGTACTACAATGTCTTGTTCAATGATTCTTTGCTGGATATCGATCATTTGCAGCAGTTCACATACGCCTTGTGCTGCATGTACTTCAATTGGTCGGTAAGCTGATGACAACAAATCATTACTTTGAAACACTGTACAAGCTTGTGACCCGTAATTTCTACCGTTATATTGTAATTCAGATTAATATTAGGCATGTACATACATGTATCGGTCATGCCAAATGCTTGTAAAGTTGCAGTTGTAGAGCGCAAATAGTGTGGCATGGCGCGCCGTAGTACCGAGTTTGGTGCAATCCGTGAATTTGTAATTGCCGATGTGTTAGCGCGACAGAAATTACGGGACAAGCTTGCACAGTTGCACTAACAACGGGGAAACTACACTCATTGACGATGTTGTGTAAACTGTATTTCCTTGTAGGGACCTATCAGAGTTCCGGCTCCTTGTCAGTACGCTCACAAACTAGCGTCTCTTGTGGGACAAAGCATCCATGATGTTCCCCATCCCGATTTGGAGCCCTTCTTCTACTATTTGTAGAACGCGGCCAGTTTTGCTGTGGATAATGCAGGCAGTCGTATCAAAGGTCACGCTCTTGAGCGCGTTCATTTTTCTCTGGTAGAATGATGCAGAGTTTTCCTTCTGTTAACGTTTAGCGCAGTTCGGTGCAGATTTTCTCGGTACGGATAATTATGAGGGTTTTTTATTTTTATTATAATTGAACGTTCAGTGTGAGGACTAAAAAAGTCGATAGTTTTAACGCAGACTGAGCACACAATTTGTGCTCTGGGATTTTGTGCGCACTGTCCTTGTACACCGTTGTAAGGCCGGGTTTTTGCTGAACGTTGGGACTAATCGAATGTGGCGCGCTTTCCTTTTTCCATGTCCCGCATACTAAAGCGGATGAATGTTGTCTAAGCGGTTTACCTTGTTGTGTCTAGCTGATTTGACCAGCGTACCAGGAACGCGGCATTCCTGCGCACCGGAAGCAAGCACACCTGTTCCTAAAACCTGACTTTTGGTTTTGGTTCTTTTGTTCATGTTCATACGTGTCGTTGTAATAAATTAGGCCTACGATCTGGCCGCACAGTGATCTGGGGATTCTTGATCCCGGTAATCGTAATCATAGCTGACTCGTGACCTTACCATCCTTTTCTAACCTGAACAGCCGTCACCTCGCTCAAAGCGGTGAATAAGCAAACCAAGTTGAGATGTTTTAAAAGCATCGGTTTAATTGGCACCGAGCGCGAAGCGCGAGGTGCTGCTACTAACTAATCGTCAAGAGTATAAAATCTGGTCTGACGCCACGAAGAGCGTCAGGTAACACTTTTCCAATTCCACAAACCCAAATATCCATAGCGATATGCCGGTAGTCAGTGTTTTGATTACTGCAGCGTATGAACAGAGAGGGCACCCAGCTCAGAGGCAACAAGGATATGCCAGACGCATCATGGCACAACATTCGTTCTTCATAAGGCCGAAACCGAACCCATATTAAACAGCATCATAAAAAACAAATCACTGTCAAAAATATTACAAAAAACACTTGAACACTGCAAACTCAGCGGGCCATTCACGAAAGGACGACGGCAGTCACATGTTCCACAGTTTGCGATAGTGCTCCTCCATGACCCGCCGCTCTTCCGGCGGCGGCAGCCACGGCACAAGATCCTTGTTCCTCCGATCATTATACACACGGGTCTGCAAGGGGAACACTGTTCAGTAATGATTTTCTTCTTTATTCGAAGCCAGCTCGTACGTATAGCCATAACGCCTGCGAACGCGAACGCGAACGCGCATAACGGCCGGCGAACGCGCATAACGGCCGGCCATCCAGAAACAAATTAAAATCGGAGAATTTTGTGAGTGGAAAAATGGTAAAAAAAATAAAATTTTTAGAGCAAAAATTAAACTACTGAATGAGTTAAATTTAATTTAATAAATACATCACTTCAGGACGCTTATTTAAACTTTAAATTACATCTGACCGCTACCCGAAAATCAGCCCAAAAATGGTACCGTAATTTAAAATCCTAATAATATTAAGAGCAGAAAGCGCTTTAAATTTTTATTACGAAAAATGCAATTTTTTACAGACAGTACAAAGACTGATTGTCGCCATCAATAAAAAATTGAACAGATTTTTAATCATGTAAAATTTACGCACAAACAATTTTAAAACGAAATTCCCATTTATCAATTGAAGACAGAATTAATGCAGCACAATTTTCCAAGAAAATCAGATTTACCCAGAATTTGCGGCAGTTGGTGTAATTTTCATGGTAGCGCGTGCAGAACTGCTGCTGATAATTATTCTCGTCTAAACATCGCATCGCTGCCTTGGATTCCTGCAAAAACAGCACACTTTCCCAACATCTACAACTCTTTCAGGTCGAACTGTAAAACAGTTAATAACCACTGGGCTCGTTGAAATTTCAACAACATTGTAGCATAATAAAAAGAACTGTCAAAAAATATCAAATCAAAATTTCTAAGGACTGCAATGCAGGTATATCTATACTGGTAAGTGGTAAGGAGCGGACCTACTTCCCAGCAAGGATTATTGGCAACCTGGTCCACCTTGGGGATCTGGCGTTTCCCAGGTGGCCGATGATCCTCCTCGGCCGTGCGGCCGACCGGGGTGGCGTAGCCCGTGAAGAAGTCAGGAATGCGCAGTTCGTAGCCTGGCTGCTCCTCGGGCGGCACGATACCCGCGGGGTGGTCATGATCCCGCTGATCCGGATGGGGAGAACCTCCCGAAGGTCTCTTCGATGTCATGACGGATGGGAGACGTCGTAGGCGCAAGGAGAATCACAACAGCTGGAAGCGTTGCTCGATAAACAGTGGGGAGTCTGAGGAACGCGAATCTGAGATACACACGATCAGCGAAACACGCTAGAACATACAGGCAAAGTGTGCAGCACCAGCGAACTGGATAAGGCTGCGACTGTGCGAGTGTTGTGACGCGCAGATGGGTCGACAGGTAGACGTGTTTCACGGCTCCACTTCACAACCATAAATCAAAATACTGTAACAAAGACTGTGAATAAAAAACAAGATTGGGAAAAAGGAATTCTTGACTCAGTTGACTGTGACAAAATTCTACTTCTGCTGACTTCCTTCTGTTTACAGTTTACGAGCAGTCTAACAAGTCTCGTTAACGTTGCGCTCTTGAGGGCGGTTGCTTATTACACCGGATAGATTAACATCAGATACGAGTTACCAACGGGAAATCAGCTGTGTGAGCCTGTTTCCGATGTCGGTTATTACACAAAGTTTACGTTAGGAATGGCACTTTATTGTGAACGGTAATTACTCGAGAATTTGCTAAATTAATAAGAAGAGTGCATCGAAGGAAGTGGCAGCAGTCATTCTATGTATAATGCAGATTAGCAAGATTAACCGTTCTCGTAAGTCGTAATTAATTCCTCTTATACACATTACTTACGTTTATTTGCGTTTACAACGGTTCAATTACTTTATGTAGAATAATACACTTTCTATGCAAGACTGTTCCTCTTCTATTAACTGTCCGGTGGAATAAATCCCTGAATCAGACTGAAGGATACCGATCTTACCGCAACCGTAATAAAAAAAATTTTTCATTTTTTCCTATGATCGTACACCGTTACAATTTTGTACAATATCCGCAGTACATCTACATCAGTAAACACCACTTTTCACCAGCACGGGCATAAGAAAACGTCTAATATCTACTGCGACACATTATCCAATGGGAAAGAGCCGCGACAATGACGCACAGGCTATCAGCGCCCCTCCACTACGTTCACAGCCGCTGTTGACCAGCCACCAGCGGATTCAGGTGGCCCGCGTGGATCTTAGCGGTGACGTCCGTGTAGCCCTTCTCCTTGGGTTTCTTCACCAGCACCCGGATATTTCCGGTGCTCAGCGCACGCCGATCACCGGGATCCGGCCCCACAGTTAATCGTACCGCGCTGCCCGGCTCGAGAAGGCCTTCTTCGTGGGCCGCCGCCAGCTCGTTGACGATACGCCGCTCCACCTAAAAACACACGATTTACAACTGACACACCATAAAGACATTTTTAAAAAAATATACAGTTCAAAGGAAAAACGCTGAACGCCGCACGCAGCAAGTAAATAACGCGTCCATACCCTGCCAGCAGCATTTTAACACCTTATTACCTAGTCTGAAAATAAATAAATTCCAAATAAAACAATTAACCGCTAATTCTGAATTAAAATAAGCAGAAAAATTTCCAATATTTTAAGCGAATAAATACAGTTTGAGCATAGATTTACTCACCTCGTGTTTGATACTGCGGGCGCCGTAGCGCACATTATACGCATCGGCCAGCGAATCGATGACGGCATGATCCCAGGTGATGTCCAGTTGGTGGTGTTTCTTGGCTTTACTCTGCCAGATCAGCAGCTCCTTCAACACCAGCTGGCCCAGTTCCCGCGGAGAAAACGGGAGAAAATACACAATCTCCGTTATGCGTCCCAGAAATTCATCGCGACGGAAATGTCTCTATAAAGAACAATTTCAAGTTTTATTCAAGAACATCAACGGACTAACATGCCGATTTTGATATCACCTTAAGAATCGGTTCGACGACGTCGTGCTTGAACTGTTTGGAGATGTCGACAATATCCTCATCGTGCTGCATTTGCGCTTGTTCCACTGCATCATAAAATCATTTTAAACCCAAAACAATTTAGCACCACAGAAAAAATTATTTACCAGATTTAACCGCTTTCGTCGGCACTTCCCGCTGGCGGTCGACTTCGGCCGCGATTGCCGCTTTCTCCCGCAGTTCCAGGGCGTGCTTAGCGATTTCCTCGCTGGCGAGATTCGATGTCTGTAACAGCCGTTATTTTTGTGCGATCGGTGCCGCAATAAAACTGCTTTTCGAAATACGCACCATGATAAAAATGGCATCTTTGCATTCGATCGTCTTTCCTTTCCCATCCGTCAAACGACCCTACAAATTCCGTCCAAACGCCATTATTAATTTACTAATTTAAAACGAGAGTTGTATTGTACCAGCCGTGACGGCATCCGTCAATACTCATTGCAAGTTTGCAACCATAATACTGCCAACGGGTTGGTTACAAGTACCGGAAATCTATACAGAATTATACCGGTTTTTTTGAGTTTATGTCAAATATTTTAAAGAAACTTTTCGGCAAATTATGCACAGATTCGTACCTCATCGAACAGCTGCAGCATCACGGTCAGCACATCCGCATGCGCCTTATCCACTTCATCGAACAGGACGACGGCGTTGGGGCATTCGCGTAGTTTGGACGTCAACTGACCGCCCTGTTCGTGACCTACACCCAGCACATTCCCTTTCCATCAAACTGAAAGCATTGTCGATAAAGCACCGTCATACCTACGTAGCCGGGAGGTGAGCCGATCAGTTTCGCCACCTGTAACCATCCCCACGATGCAAATACATGAAAACGAATGAACGAGCAGTGTTGGTATACCTACCTCGTGTTTTTCTTGGTATTCCGACATATCCAGACGAATGAATCCCTTCTTGGCATCTTTATGCAGATATTTCGCCACCTGTTTCGCTAACTCTGTCTTCCCGATGCCGGAGGAACCGAGGAAGAGGAAGACCAGGGGCCGGTCTTCGTCGTACCAACCGTTCTCTTTCCGGCGAATCGCTAACAAAAAAACCTCATAAGATTATCTTTTAACATTTTTAAAAAATTATCTGTTTATAAATTTACTGAATTTTGAGATTAAATATTTTTCAGACTTAATTCAATCGAAGAAAAGCTCGCAAAACTGGTTTTTTTAATTTTTTAAAAACAATTTACAACTCATAATTTCATAAATGTATAAACTTTTTGAATTGAAATCTTTTTAAAATTCAAAGTAAGGATTAACTCACTAGCCGCCACCAGGGAGATGGCCACATCCTGCCCGACAAGATGCTGTTTAATCCGCTGCTCCAAGGGGAAACGTCGGCGCTCCTCGGCTTTCTGCTGATCCCGGCGGTATTTAAACTGTAGCGAATAAATTAATGGCAGCGTTACGTTCAAAAACAACACGGGCAGCTGACAATGTACCTTTTCATCGTAATCTTTGAGCAGTGCGGTGACATGCTGGTCTTTGGCGAAATCCGTCGGTTTATGACCGCGGTCCATTTCCGCTTGCGGATCGGCACCGGCTTCCAATAATGCCTACACAGTCCATGCGTTTTTTAAAGTAAATTTCTCAAAGCAATTTATCAGCAATTTAAGGAGAACCTTCACCAGTCATTTACCAATGAAAAAATCAAATATACAAATAAAATCTAATTTAATAAAAAAAAATTATTTCAAATTCCGACAAAAGTCCACGACAGGTGATCATATAGAATACGTGTTCATACCTGTGTCTGTTTATGTAAACTTCATAAAGGCACCATTTGTCAGCAATTACTAATTCCGAAGAACATTTATCAGTAAGTTACCAATGTGAAAATTAAATAAAATTTAATTTATTAAAAACATTAATAACAATTCCAGTAAAAAATCAATGCATGGTTAATAAATTGTGATTTTGTTTTCTTCATCGCCTTAGTGACACGAATCAACGGACCTTTATGGTGGGCACATCGTTGGCCAGCACGGCATAATGCAGCGCCGTGCAACCGCTGAACGTCGTCTTCATATTGAGCCGATTACTGAACTCCTCTTCCCGCGCCACCAACACTACAGCAAATCCATCCGCATCGCAATTTCCCGGTTATATAGAAGCAGCGGGGTCCTACCTTCGAGATAGTGGACATTCTGGGATTCGGCGATTTTGTACACGTTGGTGAAGGTGTCCGGGGCGTCGATGCGGGCACCGGCTTTCACCAGCAGATCCACCATTCTGTATAACAGCACACCAGAACGTACACGACTACAGGCGTACACAACAGGAGTACCACTACCAACGTAGTGAATGGGCATTAATATAAGCTAGACACTGCAGGTCAATATGCAGTTCAACTACACATCGTTAAAATTAATAATTTTGATAATGAAAATTCAAAATACTGTTCTTTTTCTTACGAAAAAAAACGAAGGAAGAATTTTTTATGCGGATATGGATATGCATGGACAATACTGCTACATCATACTGATTATATTAATCATCAAAACTCCTGATAAATAAATTAATTTCTTATTAAATCACTGTTAATTAATTATATTCCTGTTAACGAATATATTAAATTCCTAATTTCCTATTAACAACTAACAAAAGTTAATAATCTGCAAATACTATCGTACCTGGCACGTCCGCGAACAGCAGCGAGATGCAACGGTGTCCATCCGTAGCGATGCCGACAGTTGACGTCGATGCCGCTTTTGATCATACTATAGCAATCCATGCAAAATTAACACCATAAAAATGTATAAGATATAACAATAAGAGTTATTCATATTTTTTGAACAATAACAGTTATTCATATTTTTTTGTCCACATTTTCTAACAGAAATTACTTAAAAAATATTCGCAACAGAAACCATAGAAAACTGCAATAAATTTACGGAATGGTCAAACAAATACAACAGCTGCTACAGCAAACAACAACATAAAACAAACAAACAATTCAGTATGCAGATAAAAATGCTCATATGAACCATTCAAAATTTGTATTAAATTCTTGTATTATTTTCAGTTGAATCAAGAGTAAGTATATGTCCGTCTCGTGTATGATTTGTACCGTGCTTTCCAATTTACAGTATAAGGTTTCAGTATTGCAGACAGTTTCGTGCCGGAAGATAATAACGGAACAAATTAATAAAAAAAATTATCGTGCAGTGTTTGCCTTGTATCGTACCTGCTGAGCGCAGTTTCCTCGCCGTTTATTATAGCCTCGAACAAACGTCCATCACAGAATTTATCCACATTTCCATCTGCATAAATTCAAAACCTCGGAATTTCCAGCAATTTAGGATCACAAAAAATTTAATTATTTGAACATTTTTTCCACGAGAACTTCGATGTGATAATTACCTACAGTAAAAACAAATTTATAAATAAGGTATCAAAATGAATATTTAATTATTTAAAAATTAAAAACTTAATAATTTAAAAATTATGAGAAAAACTATTATTTTTGTTTCCAGATTTTATAAACAAATAACATAATCTCAAAAATATTGTCAATAAAACAAATTTCCTCGGAATACTATCGAGTCCCGGACGCTTAAAATTGTAACGATTTTATTTTTTGCAGGTTTGTGCATCAGCTGTCATCTGCAGAAATTTACCTGCATTGTCCCTGGTTTTGGAACGCTGGCACAGCGCCACGGCGAGCGACAGCAGCGGAATCGAATACAACGCGGCTCCCGTCTTCCTGTTTCCCCCGCCGTCTCTACCTTTCCGATGGGAATTCCGAAAACAATCAACAGAATTCAACCGACAATCCCATTTCCATCTGGCAGGATTCTGCCAAGGAGGAGCAATCGTTCTCAACAAGAAATCCAGCCTCCGAAATGCTTCGCTGGGATTGTGGAGCGAACGCACTGGTGAAGGATCTTCGTGGTCCTGTTTCGCGATGCTCCCTGCCTCGCGGATCCGCATAGACGAGCAAAATGAACCAGGAATCATCGCTCGTTGACGCGGAGGAGCAGATAATGAATACAGCAATCTCCTGGTGATTACGTGCTGCATTTTCAGATATTTATAACAATTTTCGTCCTTTTCGAAAAGAATTACGGTAATTAATAATACGAGTAAGATGCGGAATATTCCGCGGCTGGTCACATTTCTCGAACTCTCAAAGATCAAACTAGAAAACGCAAAACTTTTCAAATTGCTTTACGAATACTGTATTAAGTGCTCCGCAAATAATTCGGAGAACCAAAATAAAAGCGGAGAAAATTAAAGAAATCTGAAAAAAATGAAAATCGCTGTTGTAAAAAGTGTTGTTTACAATTTACATCAGAACTCGTAAGTCCATTCAAGCGAAATTCCAACTCCATTTCCGAAATGGAAATGGCAACGGAAGTGGCTTGGTAGGTGTGTGCGTCGAGCGTTCATTCGGTAAAAAGTGTTTGAATAAGTATTTTCCAAAATTGAAAAACTGTATTTTTCTCATGATCGTCGTTTTCTTATTTTGCTGGTAACTTTTCTATAAATTTACCAACGATCCGAAAAATACGGTGAAACTTTGCTGGAGGACTTCGCGGAATTCTCATTGATGGGAAACACGGTATTGGGTGTGAGTCAGCAATGGTAACCGACTATGAAGAATTTATTGGTTTGCTTATCGTTCAGACGTTTGAACATCAACATTATAAAACAAAGTAAACAGCGTTAAAACCATCAGAACGCGGTACGGTTGAAGTCACAGACAGCGCATTCCACCGCTGTATTTCAATGCTAATACGCTGTAGCAGAAACTCGTAAGAGCGTCGTTCTCCCGTAGCATCCTTTAACCGCCTGCCCAATTCTCGCAAAAACTTAATACAGGAAGGGCTAGCGACGCCAAAAGTTTCAAAAGCCAATGCAACAAAATAGTACTCAGGTGCTAAATATTCATATTTCCGCCGCTTTTCGTCTTCTGCTTTTCGGGCCGCTTCTCCAGCCTTAACGCTGCTGCTAATGACGTTTGAAAATGCGACGGTATCCACACACGTCACGTCCCAGGCTAGCCGTAAACCGTTCTTCCAAGGCATTTGCGACACACCGTCCGGACGGCGATCGTCTTCGTCACTTGTTCCAAGCGGCTCTAGTACAGCCGGCGTTTTAGCGGTGACCAAACTTCTCCGAATCAGTTCGTTCAGTGCGGTGTGGCGAAGAAAACGCCCAGCGCTCTTTTTGCAGGATAAGCCGTGGTGACCGTATTCGTCCACAGGGAGACGGCAGTCCGTGCAAAGGTGCGGACGGCAGATAGCTGCGCCGATTCGAAGGCCGACTGCTACGCGAAAGCACTCGTCCGACATCAGGGTTCCAAGTGAAGAAACAGGCAGAGCGTTCAGCCATTTGCCAGATTCCGGCTCTGCAACAGCAAGCAAACGCGCACAGTGGGTGACATCACTAGACAACTCTTCCTTAATAATTTGACAAGTTTTTTGTACCAGAGCTACATCCCACACTTTTTGTACACGCCGAAGATTTTCTGGTGGTAGTTCGGTGCCCGTAGCTGTTTGCCACAACTGATGCACCAAGTCAAGGCTCTCCGTACCAGAGGCAATGGTCGAGACAAGAGGCGCTGTGGCATAAACCGAAGCCAAATAGGCTGGAATAGCTAGTTCTGCCACACGTCTGATCCCCAACCCACCACTGGACACAGGGAGCGATGCTTGAGCCCAGGTGACACCGTCGATCTTATTATTCGTTACTGCTTCTAATGCCGATTTGGTAATGTTATCGAATTTATCAAGTTCGTCTCCGCACAACCAAGTTGGACTTGCTCGTAGTAAATAGTTCATTTTAGGAACGCCAATGCAAGTGCGCAGCAGAAAATAAGCCTGATGAGCAGGCAGTATACTTAGCTTGGAAGCTAGTCTTTGCAGATCCAGGGACTTCTGAAGAATGGCATTGGGAATGGCAGCCTGCAAAAGAGGAGCACCGAGCAGTATCAATTCGCTTTCAGTGGGATGTAAAAATTCTGGGTAACGGTTAATCAAAATTTTCTTTGTGGTTTCGCGATCTTCCAGTGTACCACCGAAAATAAAAAACTCGCATTTAGAGAGATTCAGCTCGAGACCGAGATCACTGGCGGTAGCAATGACAGTATCTATGTCGCTTAATACTTCGCTTAATTTACCACCTATCACACCATCGTCTAAATACCATGCGTTCAGAGGTGACACCAGCGACAGTATTAGTATCAATATAAGAAGTGAAAACAGTAATGGGCCCAACGGATCACCCTGCTGCACCCCCGCTTGGGACAACATGTCCCATTGGTCAAAAAGTAGACTGCTGGGATTTCGGTAACATTGGCTGATAAATTGTGCGTATTCTGGTAGCTCTGACTGTACACAATGCAACATTTTATCGCGATGGACAGTGTTGAACGCGTTTCGAAAATCAAATTTAACGACCACTTGCACTTCGTCTGAAACCGTATTGAGAAACCGCCTGGCTGCATGTACAACTGCCTCACAACCGCCGGGAGTACCGAAACCCAATTGCTTTGGCCTAAGCTTTTCTCCCATCGGTTGCTGTACTCGCTTAACCACAATTTTCGCCACGATACGACGTAACGTGCTACCAACTGCTATTGGTCTTATACCACCCCCTTTCTTATTTAATGCAGTTAAGTTTGCCCCGTAAAGTATCGGCAAAATATCATTAGGCACCCGGCCGGAAAGCATAATGTCTGCTAACAATGCTAGCTGTTCACACAATAGCGAAGAACTGTCATTGGTAGTATCGCTAATCATGTCCTTCAAATGCTGAGGCCGAAGCCCGTCAAGCCCCCCGGCAGAATCGTTTGGGAAACTAGTGACTGTATCGAAAATTTCTTTTGTGTAACACGGCTAATGGCGTCGCCTTTAGCTGATGACGATGCAGGGTAACGAGCATCCGGGTTAACACCCGGATGTTTTTTCTGTAGTTCTGCGAAAGTGGCCGCGGTGCGCGGTGCCAAGGCGTCTTCGGAACAAAGGACGCGCACCGCACCAGAAACGTCGCCATTTTGAATTTTACCCTGGACAAATTTCTGTAGATCAAAAGGCCGTAATGATTTCAGAGGCGCAACGGGAATTTCTCTTGCACCAGACTCAAAATTAACAACGTTAGACTTAATCACTGACGCTAAAGAATGAGTGCGATCGTTCTTAGCTTTACCTGGTAAACGAAAAACAAAATATGCAAAAATCAAAAGATCTTCCCAGGACTTTACCGAGTTCTCTGTAACACATCGAGAAACTACGCGTGTAAAAGCTGTAGTAACCGCTCTACGTGCCCCTTTGGGTATTCGCTTCACAAGCCTCGTGTTGGTTTTCAGAAACTTCACCTGGTTCAGAAGGCTGCAGCTAGGTTCCGTCGCAGGAGCTTTGTTGGGAACACAATGGTCCAGTCCCCGTTGACGTCGTAGCACATTCTCCTTGCACTTGTTGCTCCCGCTGTGATTGGTGAAAGCGCTCTTGGTCGAGCAGACAAATCCACAGATCAAGCAAGGGAAAGAAGGCTTTGAAGACTGCGCAGCTCCATCAGAAGATAAATCCATGATAAAAAATCAGCCATCAAGAAATTTCAGCAATTAGATTTACAGCTCAAGATTGTGTCGACACTGTATATGCGCAGGCACTGCTCTGGCATGCTTTCTGCCATGTAACCGACTTGCTTTCTGCCTAACTTCCTGCTGGCTGCAGTCGTAAAGTAAACAGCCGTGCAATAAACACGTTGTGACGCGCTGGCTGGCTAATTGGCAATTTATCCGCGTGCTGTGACTTCTCAAGTTCCCCGCTGTAATTTGGCTCTTTAGCTGGAATAATCAACTCTCCCAGCTGGATAATTATTTCCCCGTCTTGTGATTTCTCCCTTGACTGCCTTTCCATCCGATTTTGATTTTTGAACTGGAATCGCGATGGCATCTGTCTGATTGTGATTTTATTTTTATTATTGAATTTTGGGAAGGTGAAGATTTGCTTGGAGGATTCTTATTTGGATTGGTCCATTGGACTTTTTTGTTGGTTATTGCGTTGCGCTGTTCCTGGTGAAAATGGGGATATTATTCGCGAAATTGTGGAATATGTTCAGTGGAGAAGGTGAGGATGCGTGTTGACACACATAGCGCACGCTCTGATAACGATTTGTTTGCTGACAAGCAGCGCAGCGCGCTGATCAATCCTTCAAACAAGACTCTGCTCTCTGTCACTGATCACACGACTGATTAGCCGATGCGTCTCGCGGACTTTTTTATTATTTTATCTTGACGTTTTTGGGTTTGAACAATGAAATCAGCAGATGTTATCGGTCAAGAGCACTGGCAGAAACATTTTTCGGATTTTTTATATTTTTATCGTTCGACGTTTTCGGATCATAATCATCGTGAGTCTTCTTCTTATAGTTTTATTTTTTTCCCGATTTTGTAGAGCATAAAGTACTGATTCTGGGGCTGGATAATGCGGGAAAAACGACCATCCTGTATCAGCTGTAAGTTGGGAATTCACCAAAAATCAGCTGATAAAAATTAAATTTTTTTTATGGTGGTTGATTGTGCATGGTGGTCGTGTGATTAGGACGATGCGGGAGGTGGTGCACACCACGCCGACCATCGGCAGTAACGTGGAGGAGCTCAAGTGGAAGAACATGAAGTTCGTCATGTGGGATCTGGCCGGACAGGACAGTCTGCGGCCCAGCTGGACCTGCTACTACTCCGGTACACAGGTACGTCCGAAGCATCCATTTGTCTCTTTTCGATACTCCATTTCGTCTCCCCGTGTCAGCGAGAATTATTTTACATTGAAAAATCGCCCGGATGTTTTTATTACAATTTTTTCTGTACCGTAAATGATAATTGTTGGATTTAATTTAGCATTTGCCGTTTTGTTTTGCGCCGAGTGTCTGCTTCGGTGTGATACGCGAATTTTGTTTAATTTTGTGACGATTCTCAGAAATTTATTTTCTCGTTTCTTTGGGCAATCTTATTTTCTAAAATTTTTCCGAATGTTTGTTGCGCATTCTTCATTATGATATTATTAAATTTTTGTCTCGTGTGTTTTCTTATTTATAGAATTTTGTTGTTTTTTTCTTGGTTAGTCTGCTTCGTTTTTTGATTCGGATTATTGTGCTGTAAAATTATTGAATTTTCGCATTTATAATTATTTGCTATATTTGTTATATTTCATCGGTTTCGGTGGGATAAGAACATTTATCTTCTATTTTGACTGGTTTTTCCCTTGCAGTTTATTGTCTTGGTGGTGGACTGTATGGATCGCGATCGCGTCCCGTTAGTGAAGGAGGAATTATACAAAATTCTTGCGCACGAGGTAAGCGCCGTTACGCAACACATGCAAAATCAATCTGCACCGTTTTCCGATTGTTGCACCGGCATAACGATCGTCAAGTGCAGTCAAATTAGCGATAGCTTTTATGCACGGACATGTACATGTTGCTGCCGGTATGTAGGACTTGAGGAAAGCCAATCTGCTGGTGTTTGCCAACAAGCAGGACCTGAAAGGCGCCATGTCAGCCTCGGAACTGTCGAGTCTGCTCAATCTGACCAGCATCAAAACCCACCGCTGGCAGATTCAGGCCTGCAGTGCACTAACCGGCGAAGGGTAATATTAACGTACAAACAAATACTGTTTTTACTTCCGGCAAATTCCTCTTGTGCGATTTTTAGTTGTCCCCGAATTTGGATTTGTAGCTTTTATAAAAATAATATCATTTTCCCCAAATTAATCCTGCACTAATTCCATAAAAACTTTTGATACAAGGACACCGCATTAAAATTTTATTTTTTGTCTAATTAATTTAGTTTTGCTTTGAATTTGGATAGTTCCCGCTAAATATCAATTTTTACCAAATTAATCGTGTAGTAACTCCATAAAAAAAGTAAATATTCTAATTTCTAAGGAATAAAAGGTACTGATGTTCAAAAATGGAAATTTCTGTGTTTCTGCCCTTTGTGTGAATTTTCACTTCAGCATTTTGCTAGTTCATTAATTATTATAAAAATTTAATATTATTATAATTATCAGTACCTGTTTTCCTCACTTCAGGTTAATCGTGTAGTGATTGAGCGAAGAAATTTAAGTTAAAATACTGATTTGTTTAACTGTATACGAATATTTTGAATTTTCTAGTTTTTCTTTCTTTAAATATTCTGTTTTATTTAATTGCGGGAATATTTCGGATGTTGTAGGCTTTTCAAAGGCTTGGAATGGATGGCCAACCACGTGACGCGGTGAAGAGTCCCACCGGAAGACAGCTGGGCCGTTTTGACCTGGATTAGGCAGTATTCATTTTAATGCAACGCGGTTGTCCTTGCAAAGATTTTAAAACCCTCCTTCCGTCCTGTGAGAAGCCGAACGGACGCCTGGTTGTTTTGTTGGGAATAAGCGAGTTCCTTTGTTGATCTCATCCCTGTTCGGGGAGAAATTGTTTGCCGATTGATACCGTCAGAAACAAAACTATTCGTCGCCAGACTGACCCCGGAAACTGGATTGTTGCTGCATTTGATGTGATGATTGGAGAGGTTGTTGTCCATTTTGATTTTAGCGCGTGTAATGCTCACTTAACAGGGAAAATGTTGGATTTGATTTTATCATTTGTTTTTAGCATGACTGAAAGTGTTTAAGTAATAAAAGCTGGAATGCGTTCATAAATTGACAAATATAACTACAACTTACAAGTAAATTGTAAACGTAGTAAATTGTAAACGTAAAATCTATTTAAGGAAAACTGATTTGTTTCTTTACGCACGAGTCGCACGACTGCACCAGTACGAGTGTATTTACCATTAGCTAGCATGCCAAAAAGCCGTCGACGTCGAGGAGTTTTCTACTGCGTGGTATAATCGTAAACGAATGCTATCATTAGGAAATTTACTATTTTAATCATATAAACAAGACCACAGCAATGCTATCATTGCTATGAGATTAACAACACCGGTTGTGATGAAGAGTCAACACGGTACAATTTTTAAAGAGCGAATTAGTTAAACACATTTGCGTAAATATTAAATAAAATGTAAATAAAATAAGTATAGTTAACTAACAGGCCAAAAAGAAATCTAAAAGTTTTCTACGTGGTATGGTCGTAGACAAATGCTTAAATATTTATGACGCCGGTTGTGATGGCAAGCCAAGCCGGCACAATTGTTAAAAAGCCATTTTAATTAAATACATTTGTGTGAATAATTGACAAAATATAAATAAAACAAGTGTAGTTAGCTATTAAACCAGAAAGCCGTTTAGTTAAAGGGCAAAATGTCTACAACACCCGGTGTTCCCAAGCGATCACCCATCCAAGTACTAACCGGGCCCGACGTAGGTTATCTTCCGAGATCGAACGGGATCGGGAGTTTTCTACGTGGTATGGTCGTAGACGAATGCTCAGATATTTATAGCGCCGGTTGTGATGCCGAATCAACCCGGCACAATTAATAAAAGCCACTTTAATTTAAATATTGAATAATTAAGAAAAGATAACGAAAATCAGTAAGTACACGTATAATAAGCCAACAGAATAAAAAGCCGTCTATAAAAGGCAAAAAGCCTACAACACCCGGTGTTCCCAAGCGGTCACCCATCCAAGTACTAACCGGGCCCGACGTAGGTTATCTTCCGAGATCGAACGGGATCGGGAGTTTTCTACGTGGTATGGTCGTAGACGAATGCTCAGATATTTATAGCGCCGGTTGTGATGCCGAATCAACCCGGCACAATTAATAAAGCCACTTTAATTTAAATATTGAATAATTAAGAAAAGATAACGAAAATCAGTAAGTACACGTATAATAAGCCAACAGAATAAAAAGCCGTCTATAAAAGGCAAAAAGCCTACAACACCCGGTGTTCCCAAGCGGTCACCCATCCAAGTACTAACCGGGCCCGACGTAGGTTATCTTCCGAGATCGAACGGGATCGGGAGTTTTCTACGTGGTATGGTCGTAGACGAATGCTTAAATATTTATAACGTTTGAAATGATCTGTCCGCTGTCGAAAATTTGCGTGTTGGGATTTTTTATTTTTGTTGTTCAACAACAAGGAAGTGCTGTCGCATTAAGTAATACTCAATCCTCTCGATGTGTAAAAAGACATGTTGCATCGAAATTTTCTTTGCTCCGTAGTCCACACTATGGAGCAAAAAAAGTTTTTATAAAAACAAAACAATTTGCAGATTCGCAGCTGGACAACGATTGAGGAGCAGTTCGGCGTGCTACGCCCTGTGAACTACCGCGTGAGTCACCCGTTTTTTGTTGCATTGGCAATGCGTCATGTCAGCTGGTGCGCTTCGACTTGTTTGCAAACGGCCAGCACGTGCTTTTTCCATCGCATCAGTCTGCATTTTTCCAGTCTGCCTGTAAAACTCAAAAGCGCTTTATTTTATTTTTTGATTTTAAATTCTTGTCAATCCTTTTAAATACACTTTAAAGTTTTATGTTTTTGACGCTGCCTTGTGGTGTTGCCCTGTGAATTGCAGTTTATGGTTGTTAACTTGTTACAGTGTTACTTGAATCCCTGATAAAAGCACATTTGTTGTGCCCGTTTTGATTTGTGGCTGTTTTTACGGAATTTCCAATCGGTCAACGCAATCGCTGTTGGGGCTGCCACAAAGGATCAAGATATTCGTTATCAGTCCCATTTATCACAGCTTATCGCGTCGGAGCCTTGCTTTATTATCGCGGTCTGGCAACCTTGGCATCAGAATTCAGGAAAGGAAAATCATCGTGTTTTCCTTGCATTCTTGTAAGTGGGAAAAATAATACGTAAAAAATTAAAAAATAATAATTTTCCTAGCTTTGCGCTTAAACTAGAATTCTTGTTATTTACTTGATTTAAAAAATTGTGAAAAAAAATTCTTGCTGCGTGAAGTTTCTCGACATCGCGGCATTTACTTTGGTAAATTTTTTTACGGTATTTAAAGTTCTGTTTTTCGTGAATATTATCATTTTTTGTAATTTTTAGCTTCGATTTTTTGTTAACAATTTTTTAAAATTTATTTTTGCGTTCAGGATTTTCTGTATTATTTTCGATTTCAATTGTATAAATTGTTTTAATTTTTGCAACCGATTTATGGTGAACATTTGCGAGTTATTTTGCTGAATTTTTGAAATTTCCGGTAATTAGTAATTTCGTTGTGAAATTAAACCGATTCAACGAGCTGGAAAAAATTGCCTTCATAATACAGCGTATCACATTTAGCTGGCGGGCATCTTTTTACCGAACAATTTAATGGACGGGTGAATTTCCTTCGCTCAATTGGCAGCTGTTGTATTACGTAAGGGCCTATCCATTTGTGCGATATTTAATAACACTGCGAAAGTGACGAGCTTTTTCCGCGAGACACACAGCCGTATCGAACGGGTCGACTGTCGATGGCGAAGGCCACGTTCGCGCTGTTTTTACTCACATGCCGAACTATCGATCCGCGCGAAAACGGGCCAGCTCGCATTTCACTCCTTTGTGACGACGCGTCGGCAATTTTCTCGCATTTTATAATACCGACGAAAAACGAACGCTGTATTGTACAACTGTTTTTATTAAATGGCTTTTTTATTTTTATAAACCTTGCTTTCATGGTTTTTAATCAGAAGCCTTTTTTTCCAGTGTTAATTGTGCAAAGTAAATTATTTTAGTTTTAAAAATTAATAATAAAGAATTTTTTAAATTTGCGAACGATTTACGTTGAATATTTGCGGGTTATTTTGTTGAATAATTGAATTAGTCTGATTTCTGGTTCTTCGGTATTACTTAGAATTCGAAAAAATATTACGGTATTAACAGCGGCAAAAGCCGATTGCTCCAACTTCCGGTAATATTTAGCTGGATTTTTAACTTTATTAACTGTATTAAAAATTAATTCTAGCCTAATCAGTATGGACTAATGGTCATTTTAATTTGTAAATAATTTAGTTACTGTTGTACCAGTATTAAATATTATTTGTGCGCGGATGTTGACGCATCAGAATTTAAAAAGCGATTTAATTAAAAAAAGAACACTGATGAAAAACACTTAACAAATTGCATAACGATCATAAGACTGACAGACATAGTGAAAACGCTGGACAAGAACGGCTCATTTTGATTATTTATTTTTACTTTGAAAATTTGCCGGTTTTTATTTTTTTATTTTTGCGTAATTTGTGGAAATTCAGGAGCATGCCCTTTATCGGGCTGGACTGGCGGTCGCCGGGTGAGCACTGGATGAAAACGCCCACCGGCAGCTGGGAGCGCACCAAGATCCTGGAGAGCGTTGGGCGCTCCCGCGAGAACAGTGTCTCCGAGGATTCGGACGATTCGTCCAAGGAGAATAACGTCCACAGCGGGCGCCGGTGTGCCGCGGAGGATCGGGACGCGCCACCGGAAGTGGTGGGGAAGGAGTCCGGTGACCACGGCAACGCGGTGACAGTGTACCAGCCGCATTGTCACATTGCCAAACGTACATCGCGGGAGGTGCGTTCAATTACAGGATTTGTTCCTTCGGTTTTTTATTGGCAGTTCCGTAATGTCTTTTTTTATTTTTAAAACAATTTTTCCTTTTTATTAAAGTTATTTGGAAAATTTCTGGCTCATTTCCGGTGTCTTTCTGATTAAATCCGAACATTTTGAGAATGTCTCGATTGATTAGAGCTGTTTACACTTCAGATTATTTTAATTCCTAAAGTCATTTCTGTCAAACAAATTAAATAGAATTATAAAATTAATCATACAAAAAATAGAGTTTTGGTTCAGGTTATTAATTTTCAAATAACTTCACATTTAGAATAAATTCAAATAAGTATGTAGATAAATTGGAACAAAATATTTAGGTAAATTTTAAATAAAAATAAATAAGGTCCGAATAAATTTAGGTCCAACTGGCTGATTTTTCAATATGTTTGGTGCCTTGATTTATTTGTTTTCTACGCAGAACACCGCATACGTCAGTCTATCGGAAGCCTTCTGGAAATTGGATTTTTGCGGCGCTGTGCGGGATCTGCGCCGGTTCAACTACGTGTGCAAGGTATTTTATCAATGAATTAATAATAAATTATTCAGATATTTACAGTATTATTTTTACACGGAATTAACGCCACGATCCGCAGGTTCTTGACGTGCTGATCTCGGAAAAACTCGCCTCATTGGGCGGCCAAGCGCAGAAACTGCTGTTCAGCACCCTGGACCACGTGGTCACTCAAGGTGAGCGGCACACAGACTGATCAGTCAACAAGCGAACGTTGACGCTGTTCGAATTGTCAAATACAGCCGGCATTTCCTGTTCGACTTTTTTCCTCTGTGATTAAGGTCTGAACGCTGTAATTTCGGCAGAAAAAGCCGGTGGTTACCGCTTGAACACGTTAATCCGGATGCACTTGTATTTATTTCGCTTGTATTTATTTTTTAAAATCTTTTCGATGACAGTGTTTCTTTGTTAATCCCTTTGAGTCATGATGATTACTCGTATTTCAAAAAATGCGTGTTTTTATTACTGTTGCTCAGAAATGACTGGTTCGTATGATCTGAACGTCGTTATTTTAATTAAATTTGTTATTTATTCATTAGTTTTATCTTATTATCACTTTATTTCGTTATTTATGCATTGTTTTTAATTTTACTTAATTATGTTTTATTTTTATTCATTTTAGAAATTGTGTTTAATTGTATTCGATCATTTTCTTACACGTTATTTTTTTTTTAAATTTTAGTTGTGTGTACGCAGCAGAATGTGCATATAATTCGGCAATTAATGCGGGATCTGAACGAAGCCATGGAGGAATCGAAGATGAGCTGGGGGAAGCATGTCGGCAGTGAATTGCTGTGGAAGGGTCATAAAATGCGGCTGCAGCAGTGGAATCACGTGATGGATGATCTCATTGTGCACCAGGTAACATTTTCCTTAATGGTGATTTTAATAATATTAATTTATTACTTGTGAATATTTATCTGTTAAGCAGTGTAACAGCGTTGGTGAATTATGTGGCTGTGATTTATTTCCGTGAATATCCTCTTTTTCATTTTAAATAACTTATTGCAATTAGTTACTTACATATTTTATTTGCGTATTTTTAATATTTAATTTTACTAATTTAATATTTAATTTTACTGATCTAATGATAATGCCTCGTAATTTTTCTCTTTTTTTATTTCCTCTTAATTTTCTTATGTCGCTGAATTAAAATCTGTTTGTGTTAATTTAAAATTCTGCTGTGCAGTTAATTCATAATTTAATTTCCTTGATGAACTTTTTATATTAAAAGGTAGCCAGAAGTTTGTAATAATTTCTATTTTTATTCTGCAGAGCACCGAGTGTAATCAAGCCGTGTTGACCGATCTGCCGGAGGAGTGCATGCGTCTAATCCTGCTGTGTCTGTCGGATCACCACGACCTGATCCGCTGCGCGGCAGCCCTACCGGCCAGTCCCTCCAAATTCGGGCATCTCTTCGACGAGCAGCGGCTGTGGAAGGAATTGTGTTTCTTCCATTTCGACGCCGGTCAGCTGGCGCAGGTGGCCAAAACCTGCCAGAATAATGCGGGAAGCGACTGTACGGAGAAAGACTGGGAAGACATGTATCATCGCTTGAAACGGTGCGCATCGTTACTGAAAATGTTCCCTTTTTTTAATTTATTTCCGCAGAATTTTTGCAGTTTAATTTACTTTTAGTTTAATGACTTTAGGTTTTGCAATTTAATAATTTAATTTGCAGTATTAATTTAACCGCAGTTTTGCGAATTTTATTGTGCCATTACCGACATTTGACTTACCAAGTACTGATTAATTTCCTGTTTTTCACATGGAACTTTGCGATTTTTTATTGTTCATTAATTATTTGTAAATTTTTAAAATGCAGCTTGCTTTTGTAAATCGTTTTGATTGGAATCGTTTGCCTATTGCCGGTTTTACTGATAAATTATTAATCCATTATATCGATTTCTGTGCTTAATTGAATTTCTGTAATTCGTTGTGATTCATATCGTTTGATTATTTCCATATTTTTGTCGGTTAAGTAGTGCACTTTCTCCAAATTTTTTCACTGATGTGGAATTTGTTTGAATGTACTCTGTTTTCTTGTTTGAATTTTGAGCAATTTTCTTAAAAATCCTACAAATTGAAATTAAATTGCTGTGAAATTAGGCCGACGTTTGAAAGATTTTTTTCTGTTTACGTAAAATTTTTTTTTCTTATTTACTTTGTATGATGGATATTGTTATGTTTAATCTCAGTGTTTTTCATCGGTTAATTAATGGTAAATAATTTGGTAGATTTTTCGGACTGAAGGAGACGTACGCGGAGACACTGCAGCTGTGTCTGCATTGTCGCACCCTGTTTTGGCAGTCCTACGGTCATCCGTGCCCGGTGCTGGCCGACGACAGGAGCAGCGCAGCCTGGCGCGCGCATTTCACCCACAAACAACCCATTCCCATTTCACCACGGGCTTTCTTGGAATTCTTCTCATTATAAAAGCGGCTGTTATTTTTCTCTTTATCGGATAATTCTCAAGTTATTGTACTCAGGATATTGTGCTATGTCCCTGTGAATTCGCTACCCGCTGGCTGTAAAAATGAATCTTTAGATTCTAATTTTTTCCCTTTAAAATTAATGGTTTGTATATAATTTTGCGCAGCTGTATATATTGGATGGTGTGATGAAAGTTACGAAATTAAATCTCAAAACTGAGCATAAAAATTAAAAAATTATTTAAAAATGTTATATAAAACTGTGGTAAGTTAAGTTGGAGATTACTTTTTGGTTTTCTTGAAGTGCTGCATCTGCATATAAAGACTTAACGAATTTGCATCTAAATTTGCGTTGAGGGACGCCTAACGACTTCGAATAATTAAGCCGCAAGTTTTGAATTTTGTTAGTACATTGTGTAATTAAGTAAAAAAAATAAAAAAAACTACCTCGCTAACAAAATCACTAAGGTTTTTTTATAACAGAAATGTTAAGAAAATGATTCAAAATTTATGTAAATCATTTACACAGATTGGAAATAATGGGAGAGAAATTTTAGAAAAAACTTACTTTGTAAATTCGGAGAATTAATACTCAAGAATAATGTACGGTTAATTCAAATTTTAAGTACTATTTTTATATTGTGCACATACTGATACTACGTACATTATTTCAGATATAAGGAAATCTTCAGAAAAGGTGCTTCTTATCTGCCACCGCGTTTGCAAATGCGGAATTCACCACGCTTGACACATTACGCGCATCGATCCCCAATTAATAAATCAGATAAAAAAGTTTTTTAAAAAAAACTGGAACATCGACTCCGGAGCGCAAAAATAATTCTTTAAAAAAATATTTATTATTATTTTAATATTTCTGTGGACTCTGGACTCCTTTTAACATCATCCGAAAAATCTTTCCCATCCTTTTCCACAGCCTCCGTCGGTCCGTTTTCCACATTTTTCCCTGTCTTATTCATTTTGGGTTGTTTCTGGATGACCGGTTTCGGGAGGGAGTCCTTTTGCGGGGAATCCAGGACGATGGTGACGGGCCCGTCCATCTGGCTGTCGATAATCATCCGCTCACCGAAAAATCCCTTCTGGATCTTCCCCGCATCGTACATTTCCCCCATGCGCTGCAGAAAGCGTTCATAAAAGGGTTGACTCTCCGGTCCCAGCATGGACAGGTGGAAATCCGGCTTCGGGCCTTTATTCGTCCGGCCGTATAAGGTGAACTGGCTGATGCACAGGATTTCCAGTCCCAAATCCATCACAGATAATTTCCACCTACAGTTACATTTCGTATTAATTTCTACACGCTGGAGGCATAAGGGAAATTACTGGGGAAAAATGTGAACAATTTGATTTATTTAAAATGAAGAATATGACTTAATAAAAAAAATAAATTTAAAAATCAGATCATTTAATTAACGTAAATTTTTCCCCTGTCTAAATGAGACTTCAGAAGATACACTCGTGCTAAGCTTTCAATTTTCAAATTCACTTCTACTCACAAAAGCAGCAAGCTGCACTAGCCAAAACGAAATTTGAAAAATGCAGAATATAAATTAAATCTTTTTCATACAGTATGTGGAGGAATGTAGGAAATTTTACGAAATTTCCGCTACAAATTCAACACATTAACAGCAGGAAAGCAGATTATTTTCAAAAACAAGTAAATATTCTAACAGAAAAAAATCTACAACGGACAATAATAAAAGTTCAGAAAATCTTTGCATAAGCAATTTGCTGCGAAAAATTTCTCAAAACTTTTTACGAAGAAAAAATTATTTACCAAGGAAACATATTAAAAATATTTTTAGTTATAATTTATAAATAACAATAAAAATTCGGAGATCCTTAAAACATTAAGCTACGAAATATTTCCGGAATTTTTTCCACTTTTTAAACAGGTGAACATTGCAGGAAAACAGCATAAAAATTAAACGATACTGGCTGTTATCACAGAAAACCCTGCAAAAATTATCAATTAACCCGATACAGCGCCGTTCCCGCACCTGGCATTATTGTCATCGTTGAAGACCTTGAGCGTCAGCAGCTTCTTGACCATCCACTCCAGATCGGCGTCCTTGTCGTCGCGGTGGATGCCCAGGAGAACGAGGAGCCCCGGACCGATGCTGTTGATGGTCGGACCTTGGACGTTTTCCCCGTCGCCCTGCTCCACGGGGGTGGATGCCCCGGAGGGGGCCGCGCGGCGCACGGAGGCGTGCAGAACACGCTGGACGGTGGCGCGCATGCTGGAGGAAGGCTGGAAGAGAAGGCAGACGCGGGCCGCCCAAGCGAAAAACTATTATCTTCGCAGAATCTACTGTCAGCCGAAATCATGCGATGGCAGCGATGCTAATGTTGTTAGCTAGCTTGGCTGCATCCCTGCAGGAAGGATTTGAGATGTGTCAATCGAAGCTGCAGAAAAAATTCGAATACCGTAATAATTTCTCGAGAAAAAAAGGAAAAACCGGAAATGTAAACGCAGAAATGAGAAAAGTGAGAGAAAACAGACCAAAACTGAAAACGAGAATCGTCAGAAACACTGAAACAGAAACGATAAAATTTATTCAGCAGAAAATTCTGACGCTTCACCAAACCGTCACTCCGCCGATGGCTACCGCAGCGACAATTTTAACTTTGATTTTTCGACTTTTTAGGCTTTCCTCAAAGACTAAAGTTTAATGGCTTATCTGAAATTTTTTACGAAATTAAGTTTATTAAAAATTTATTGTCACTGGCTTATCAAAATAAATATTCAAATTTTACCTTTTGTTATTTTATGCACGGACAAACAGGCCTAAGACTGAGCTAGTTAGAACTTAAAAGGCAAAAAGTCTACAACACCCGGTGTTCCCAAGCGGTCACCCATCCAAGTACTAACCGGGCCCGACGTAGGTTATCTTCCGAGATCGAACGGGATCGGGAGTTTTCTACGTGGTATGGTCGTAGACGAATGTTTAGGTATTTATAGCGCCGGTTGTGATGCCAAATCAACCCGACAGAATTAATAAAAACCCATTTTAGTTAAATAACTAAGAATAAACAAAATTTAAATAAAATAAGCATAGTTAGCTAGCAGGCTAAAAAGCCGTTTAATTCAAAAGGCAAAAAGTCTACAACACCCGGTGTTCCCAAGCGGTCACCCATCCAAGTACTAACCGGGCCCGACGTAGGTTATCTTCCGAGATCGAACGGGATCGGGAGTTTTCTACGTGGTATGGTCGTAGACAAATGCTTAAATATGTATGACGCCGGTTGCGATGTCGAACTACCCGGCACAATTATTAAAAAGCCATTCTAACCAAACACATTTGCCTGAATAATTAATAAAATATAAATAAAATAAGTATACTCGTAGTTAGCTAACAGACCAAAAAGCCGTCTACATAGTTAAAAAGCAAAAAAGTCTACAACAAGCGGTCACCCATCCAAGTACTAACCGGTCCCGACGTAGGTTATCGTCCGAGATCGGGAATTTTCTACGTGGTATGGTCGTAGACGAACGCTCAGGCGTTTATAACGCCGGTTGTGATGCCGAGTGCCGAACTAAGCACATACCATATTAAGCCAAGAGATTTGTTACTTTTTATGTTTTTAACACAAACTTAATTAATAATTAAAACGTTGAACTTCGAATGACCTCTGCGTTTACATATAACATAGCTAATTTAAGAAGGGGGATTGTAATTGCATCTTAGTTAAAGTTCATTTCGGTTGCTCTTCTCCTAACATAGCACTGTACCGGGTGGCCGAACAAAATGTCACCCTGGATTAATATGGTGCCCTGGGCCAATCCGGTGCTTGATTGACATGATTTAGTTTTATTCGAAAGAGCATTTTTCATGACACAAGAAAGTTAAGTTAAACCAACAATATAAATGAGTTTCCTTTTTTCCAGAAATATTTTGAGAAAATGGGTGGAACTGAGTGATGTCCTGGAAACAAAAATTCAAATTTCCCTATTTTCAAATTTAAATTGTAGATATTCAACCAAGTAGGTTATTGTTTATGACGTTGCTTTTTCGGAAAGGGGGATTGTTCCTGGTTTTTTTTACTGTAAAGAATAAAAACATTCTAGTGACCCTGGCTGGGCAACGGGCGAAAGATTTGGTACTTCTTACATTTCATCTTCATGAAACGGGGTAGCGGACTTTTTGAAAACAATTTGCAGACCATCGCTTCGAATGCAGTCCTGGTTCACACCCGTGTTTAAAAGAGTACTCACCCACCTACAGTTTCCAGTTGAAGCGGCGCTCTTCATTGCACCCAGTACTGAACAAAAAAATTGTAACTAAAATACTTATAAAAACAAACGAAAAAAATCGTAATTTTTTCGAATGGTCAAAAAGGTTGCTTAGTGCCTAGCTCATCCAGTGCATGCATCATCCCAACAATATTTTCCCGGCTGAAAGAGAAAGTGCTGCTCTAAATAAAACATTTAAAAAACTCGAAATCATGTGCAAGGACAAAAAGTTAGGCGCAATTTTTAACTATGCGAGCTGGGACACTAAAAATTTCTACACGATTTCACTTGGCGCCGTTGTTAACGAGGAGTCTCAATTTTTTAGAAAAATATTTGAGTGTTTTGAGTAGCTTATGAAATTGTCTATCGAATGAGTCTATCCGGTTTAAATTACGTTAAGTGGTTCGCGCAGGGCAAAACAAACGCCTAGGGTGACATTTTGTTCGGCCACCCGGTACATAACTACATATATAAACTGCGGCGAAAAGTAAGGAGCACCGATTCAAAACCACGGTTCTATCCACAAAACCATTTAAATATAAATGGTGTGATTGCAATCATAACCGGAAATGACGGCAGTGCCATCTTCGGCCGAGAGGTGAGACCGTTACTGGCACACGAAAACTGACCAAACAATTTATGCACAACTGCCGGTAGAAAACCCATAAACTCCCATAACAGCATTAACACCACGACACATGCGGAATACAAAATTATTTATTTAATAATGGCTGTGCATTGCATAATGACGATGCGGTACACGCTGCAACCGGCAATGTGCCAGGGGTGTTGTTGCATTTTAACGGAGATACCATGTAATTTGCGCTACAACTCCTCGACATACTTATGACGAATCCGCGACAACTCACAAGTACGATCTGCAAAAATTGGCTAATTAATACGATAACCCAGAATCACGGCAGAACTGAACTTGTGAAAACAGCCACCACATCCGCCGCGAATATCGCGCCGTTACAATGCATATTACAGAGTTTAGCGATGGCAGTGCATGCGCAAGAACAAAGTCGCAGAAAATGCCAGAAAACTTTTCTTCAGTTTATTTCGACATTCAGTTGTCTGAAATTTTATGGTAACTTCAGTTTTTTTGTAATTATTGCAATTTTATTTTCCGCAATCCCGTTTACTGAAGAGCAGTACACTGGAGCAACGTATAATTCAACAAACTACAATGGATCGTATAACAATTACGGTAAGCTCTGGTTAATTATTTCTGTTGTTTTTCAGGACCAATTTGATAATTTCACATATAGGTATTTGGAAAAACATAATTACGGGGAAAATAAGTTAAATATTTCTTACAGAATATAAGCGTAACAAAACATTATACTCCCAAAAATCCGACATATTTTGAAAATCAATCAAACAGAAATACAGAAATAATGAAAATCGACAAATTATTAAAATAATAATTATAAAAAAATAAGTGAATGTAAATCAGTTAAATATTAAGGACTTTTCAGCCTACGGTCAACCATATTCCTACGCGTATCCGTACCCAGTGGCGGGCCGAGGCATCGATTATGGCGCGTACAATAACTTCTGTAATAACGTCAGCAACTTCTACCTGACCATCAATAACACCAACGCCGTCACCAATACCAACGAGAACAACCAAGCCCAGGTGATGAATGAGAACAATTTGAATAACCCCTACAACATCTCCGTCAAGACATACATTTATGGACCCTTGTGTACCTTCTACGCCGGGGTGGTGTATCCTCCGGCCCCGCCTCCACAGCCCATCCAGTACATTATCTATCAAATGCCACCCCAAGAGCCGGAAGAAGTAGAGGAGGAAGACGATGAAGGTCCGGAGATTGAGGTTATCGTGGACGACGGGAACGCGACGGATGACAGTGCCAAGCCGCCGGTGCAGAGGCCGGCACCCTATGTGCCTCCCCCGGCGTCCGTATCGGAGTTTGAGCCGCCGCCGGTTCCGCAGTATGGGCCGGCAGTGGGACAGTACGCGTCGCAGGTGACGGAATACGACGCCGCCGGCTCTGATTGTAAGCGGACAAAAGCATTACTATGTTGCAACGGCGGAGGAAGATGCTAGTACTTAATTAGTTGTCTTAGTTAAGACTATATTGAATTGAAATTTAATTAAGAAAAATTGATCTTTTTGCAACGGTAGAACAACCGTGCAGTTCGATATTAGAGCCCGTGTTACAAAAACCTTTTTAATAATTGCGCTGTTTCATTCGGCATCACAATCGGCGTTATGAATACTTGAGCATTCGTCTACGACCATACCACGTAGAAAACTCCCGTATTATCCCGTTCGATCTCGGAAGATAACCTACGTCGGGCCCGGTTAGTACTTGGATGGGTGACCGCTTGGGAACACCGGGTGTTGTAGACTTTTTGCCTTTTACATAGACGGCTTTTTGGTTAATAGCAAACTATATTTATTTTATTTATATTTTGTTAATTATTCACACAAATGTATTTAATTAAAATGGCTTTTTATTAATTGTGCCGGGCTGATTCGGCATCAGAACCGGTGTTACAAATATCTAAGCATTTGTCTACGACCATACCACGTAGAAAACTCCCGATCCCGTTCGATCTCGGAAGATAACCTACGTCGGGCCCGGTTAGTACTTGGATGGGTGACCGCTTGGGAACACCGGGTGTTGTAGACTTTTTGCCTTTTACATAGACGGCTTTTTGGTTAATAGCAAACTATATTTATTTTATTTATATTTTGTTAATTATTCACACAAATGTATTTAATTAAAATGGCTTTTTATTAATTGTGCCGGGTTGATTCGGCATCAGAACCGGTGTTACAAATATCTAAGCATTTGTCTACGACCATACCACGTAGAAAACTCCCGATCCCTTTCGATCTCGGAAGATAACCTACGTCGGGCCCGGTTAGTACTTGGATGGGTGACCGCTTGGGAACACCGGGTGTTGTAGACTTTTTGCCATTTTGATTAACTATAATAAACGGCTTTTCGGCTTGTTATCTAATTTCACTTCTAGTATTTTCCGTTTGTTGATTATTTTGATGCAAATGGATTTACAGTATTTAAAATCGCTTTATGTTCATATTAACCATAACGTGGTAATTATTCAGGCAAATGTTTTTAAGTTTAAATTACGATAGAATGGCATTTTAGTAATTTTGCCGGGTTGACTTGGCATCTTAACCGGCGACGGGCGTAGTAAATATCCCAGCATTCGTCTACGACAATACCACGAAGAAAACTCCCGTTAAATGCACTTCTGTTTTTATACATGTAATCCCGTAATGCCGCTTCTTCCGTTGTTTATGTAATTTTTAAATATCTGTTATGAGCACGTGAATAGCCGAATATACGGTTTCGAAAATGTACATGTAATTGCATCAACAATTTGATTACTGATAGAAAGTAGAGCACTTCCGCTCTGTGCAATGTGCAGGAAAATGTTTCGGTTAAATAGGGTTAGCCCATTTTTCTGCAGATTCCGAATACCAGAGCCAAACCAACCCTTACGTCCAGTACCCCGCTCCCAGTGCCCCGGCCGAATACAGCGCATCACCTTATCCCTCTCCCCCCGTATACGACGCCCGTATGAGCATCCGGCAGCTTCCATTTACGACCGCCAATTCCCCGCTGAATTACCGCCATTCTGACGCGTCTTTATTGCGCCGCCGACCGGGTACAGGGTCGTTATATCGAGGCCCGGTTACTGCAATCCCGCGTAATTCCCATCGTGTCCGCACGCAAAATAATCCTCTTCCGCAGCAGCAGCGCTTCACTCCCCATCGATCCACATCATCCAACCTGGGATCGTTATTTGCGTAACAAAACGCGCTGTGCCGCGATCGCCGGCGTAATTACACCGCCAATCAAGCCGGCATTATCATAATCCGCATCATGATGTTTTATATCGCATTCGCTTAGACTAAAAGCCGTTGTCACATCATCCGCTTTGATCGTTCGTTTCACCGATTCTTGCTATCGCTTAATGGAGACAGCAACGTCCAGTGTAATCTTTTAATAGACCGATCAGGACTTTAATCTTTTCCTTCGAGCATATTTCGCAAATATCAAGGATCGTCCTGGGCTGATTCATATCCGGTTTGTCCCTATATTTTTTAACACTATCATGACCCTCTTAGTGCAAAGTGTTCCCGGTACGTCTTGCCCTGTTGCTGTCGTCGCGCTGGTTGCGGGATAATAAACGATGACCTTTACTGTTGCGTTCTGCCTGTGTTTGATCGTGTGCTGGGATGTTGTGGAGTATAGTGATGGCTTTGCACTGCGTCTGTTCCGCACCACGGATATGACCCAGGGGAATGTCCGGGATGGGGAGGGGGGACACGCCGGGCCCCGCATACCCGTGGTGACTGGCGGTAAGGAATTGCAGGCGGTCAACAAAGGTTGCGTTAAGTAGAGCAGCTAACGTTGGGTGGTTTTTATTAGGGATTCGTGCTGGGGAATGTAATACAAAAGTATCAATTAACAAAAAAAATCATAACATCATTTCCGTTCAGCCAAATGAAAGGCGAACTATACGAGTAGTTATGATACTTTGTGCATGCACGCCTTTAATTAAAATTTTGTCTGCAAATGCAGATTTAGTATGAAGATCGGTTTAACACCGAATCAACACCGTTCTAGCACTGTTTTCGAATTTTAAAATTTATTTTAACATTTTAAAAATATGGTGAAACTTGGGTTAAGTGTGTAAAAGATCTTTCTACTGATACGCGTTTACGTGCCAAATGCGTGTATTAAAGTGTAAGTGGTAACAGTGAGCGTAACACACATCATCGTTAGAAGAATATCGTAGTGCAGCGGCTGCCAAGTCGCTATGTGTAGCGATAAAATTATTAGAACCTCAGATGCAGTAATCAAGCTTAAAAAATTAATCTTTTTTGCTCGCAACGGCAAACCAACGTTTTCCGAACCAGTACGCTTGTTTTTTGTTGACTATAAGTGCTACGCGGGCCTTTTTTAACTATCGATCTTTTTCGCTACAAGTATGTCTTTTCAACAACTGATCAGTGATCACCCACGCATTTTAATAATTAATACTAGGTAATTATTACCTAGTACATGAAAGTGCAAAATTTTCAAAAATAATTGCTGTACATATGTGTCATTACTTTAGACATTTACACGAAAATGTGCCAACTACAAATTATGATTGAGTAAGCATTGTATACTGTGATGGAGAATTACAGCACTCACACAGTAAAAGCCTTATCTACTAAAATGTTTGAGTCAGTGGCAAAACGATCGTTATTTATTAAGTCTGGACCGCTAATATCGGTTCGTATTGCAAGTTTGCAACAGTGTGGGAGGCTGGTATTTTACATTCTGTTTACTTTTGTATATGTATGCGTAAAAACTAGTTAAAGTGAAGATCTTGGACGTCAGATATTTTGGAAATTTTATAATCTCCCGGCAATTGTTCACCTTTCACAACGCTCGTCGTATTTTACCGTTTTCTACTGGTGAAGCCGTGCCAGCGCCCATGCATTTTCTTCCTTTTTATTGCTTGTTAAATCTTTGCTATAATATAGTGTGCGTGCTAGTTATAGCTCCGCCATCAAATAGTCACCACAGTATACGTTTTGCCACGTAGTAATTAGTGAATACAGCGTGACCAAATTTTATTTCAGCAACACGATTAAACTATTTATTAACAGTTGTACAGTCATTATTAATTGATTTTTAATAGTACCTCTCGATGCTCACTCAAAGATTTTAGTTTAAAGATGAACCAGCCGATATATTCGAATTTTTGAGTGTTCTGTAAATAAAAGAAACCCTCTGAGTCCCTTTAAGATAAAGAACGTCCACAACACTAACCACAGTTGCAAACTAATGAGTTAAAAAAATGCACTTTAAGTTACAGAGCACTTTAAGTTTACTGCGAAGAAACGGTCTAATTTCAGCTTGGTCTGCATGATAGCACTGTAACATGATTTATTATGTGTACATGCACAACGTACGTACTGGTCGTTGGCATAGCAGCAATTCATACACTCCGCTAATGGCAGGAAAAATAATCATATATCGCCGGAAATCAGAAAAATAATTTGCAATTTTTATACAGACATGCAGAGCCTGTCCCGGTCACGCGACATCCCGGTGTTCGCTCCGGGCGTCGTCTTCGCCACCACCCCCACCACCACGACCACCACCACCACACCGGCACCGACCACCATCCGTCCCGTACTCGCCGGCATCTTCCGCCCGGCCTCCTCACCCCTCCCGCCCGGCACATCCGCCGGCCGTTGCGGCGCCTACGAAGACTGCAAACGCCATCTGATCCGCTTCTTCATGATGGCCATGCTAGCCCGCGAAAAGGACCCCCTGGCGGCGTTCCGCCTGTTCGGCCGGCTGAAGAGCATCCCCATGGGGTCGTCCCTGCGGGCCGGCTCCTTGCGGATGTTCCGGCCGGCCTTCAACGCCAGCCAGCCCAGCATCCTCCCGCCGAAACTGAAGACATTGAAGCTGCCGGTGCTTAATGCGGAAAACATGGATTTTGCGAAGATCTTCAAGGGCGGGAAGCCCATTCTTCTTCATCCGCGGTCCGTGTTCACGCCCTGGCCGGAAGCGGATAAAGAGGCACGGTGGGAATCGTCGGGCGCTTACTGAATTTATTATACGCTATGCTTATTAGTGGAACATGCTCAGAGCAGACTTGTGTTTTTCGGTGACCTTTTGCACTCACTATAGTAGTTTGGGCTTTTCATTATAAAAAATGCGTGGTGACCTTTATGCTGTATCTTACAAACAAAATAAATGCTGATTTCATAGCTCGTATTTGGGAGCGTCCGTATTAAATGAAAAACGCATTTATTTTTATTGACTTTAGTGTTTGTATCTGTATATACTTCGTAAGCTTCATGCGCATGCAATACTCTGTATGTATTTTATAATGTTCATATAAGTGCGAATTTTTTTAATTTTTATAACGAAAAAAAAATTACAAATTGCTAAAAAATTGCAGATCAATTATATTTTATACTTGCAACATAAATTTGATTATGTAAGAAATCGAGGATTTAAGAGCAAGAAGTCACGCAATGTGCAAAAATTCAGCGGATACATGAACTACAGCTAGAGCAGCAAGGAAGAAATAATTTGATTACAGATAGTTTAATTGACCCATCGCGTGGCACCGTTTAATTCAAGCACCCATGGTGCGGCACTTAAGCACATACAATTAACCCGGCGTGTGCTGCATCCACACCGGCCTCATTTCTGACACACTCCCTCGGCATCCCACATCTCACAGCCGACACACTGCGGACAGGTGAATAGCCCGGCGGGATCCACGGCCATCTTGATCCTGTACAGCCGGCCGTAATTCTCCGCGCCCCAGAACGCCTCCTGCCAGCGCGGCTCCGCGGTGAACGCCTCGTTCCCGTACGCTCCCGCCCCGGGATACGCGTCCCGCCATACCTGGACCCCCGCGTTCAGGGCGTTCGTCAGGTTGGCCAGTTCGGCGTCGGTGGTCTCGTAGGACCAGCCGATGAACATGACCACGTGGTAGACGGAGCGCCGCCAGGCGGGGGTCACCGAGGTCTCGGTGCCGTGGGGGTCCCGCGCGCGGACGCCCTTCCCGTTGACGAAGTGGCCCAGCATGCCCCAGAGGAGGCCGTTGGCCCGCATGCCATCCACGATAGTCTTGGCGAAGAGGCGGGGGTTGGAGAGGGCTGACACGGGGACGAGGCGGGAGCCTAGGATGGTGCGCCCGCCCGTGGCGTCGGTGCCGGTCTCGGGGGAGAAGAGTCGGCCCGTCCAGGAGTGCCATTGCTGTGGAAAAATTGACAGCCAGTTATTTAAGCACTTACGTTATCAGTTTTCATTTTTATTTCACAATATGAACAACAGTGAGCACCACTCAGTAAATACATCAAATGAAGAATTTATCCCAATTTATAATACGAGTAGCACGAGAAGGGACTGTGCACAATACACTCATAGCATTACGACGCATAATTTACGACGTATTTACATATTTACCACAATTAACAAGGTGATAATTAATTAAGTATATTATTTATTTTGGTTAATAATCCTTAATATACATTAATACAACTTATATTATTAAAATACTGGATACAAAAATTCTGGGTATACATATATGTGCAATACTTTGATCGTACCCGGAAACTTTTGAAAGGTCGCGTATACTGCTCAGGATTGGTCTGATTCACCCCGACGATCGTGATGCCTTTCGTCTGCAACGCCAACAGCCCATTCGTCAACGGTACAACGGTCTGGCTGGCCGCAGCCTCATTCAACGGCGCCAAGATGCTGATAAAGAACCCGATGCCGGTGACAAACTGGAAGTACCCTCCCCAGGGGACCTCCTCCAGAATCGGCGTATAACTCGCCCACACCTCCAGCAGCGCCTCCATCTGTTCCCCCGTCAGCGGCTGGAAATCACTGGAGAAGGCCACCACCGCGTAACTGGTGTACTCCGCAGCCCCGGGGTTCAGTTTGTGCGTCACCGCCGTCACCACCCCGAAGGTCCCGCCCCCGCCGCCCCGCAGGGCCCAGAAGAGATCCGGTTCCTGGCATTTGTTGAGCGTCCGCAGCTGGCCGTCGGCCGTGACCACCTGCAGCTCCAGGACGTTGTCCACGGCCAGGCCCAGCCACGGGGACTGGGCGCCGTGACCCCCGCCCAAGGCGAAGCCCCCCGCGGCGCCCACGGTGGCCGCGTTGCCTCCTAGTATAACAAGTTTGTTGCCGAAGTTCTGCTCGACGTAGTCGTAGACTTCGCCCCATCCGGTTCCCCCGGTGACTGTCACGGCCGGGGTCGCTGGTTCGCGAGGGCAGTTTTTCGGGACGAAGGCGCTGCTGTACGTGATTCCCTTCATCCTGAAATTGGGACGGTGTTAACACCAAATCTGAATTCTGCCACTTTCTTAAATTTTGAAATGAATTTTAAAAACCTATAAAAGTTGCTACAGTGCTATAATTTTGGTTCGGTATACTGAAGCCGCTCTTTGTATTGTACAATACATACATCATGATACTTGTCTTTGTACATACAGTGCACATGTGCGTCTACGTGCAAAATGCCGGTCTATAACGAGACCTTTGGTACACCTGTTCGCGTTTACATTTGTTGGATCCAATCTCACATAACTCCGCAACCGAATGTTGCCCGCACAAACGGTTTTTACGCCAATGTATACAAGTTATTTGGTTACAGAATGCCAAAAACACTGCAAAAAAGTGTTTTGAAGCGAGCGAAAGCGAAGTTTTCGTGAATGCAAACCATTTTGCATGCACTTTTAGGACTTACGTACACAAGCCAATCCTTTGGCTACAAAACCTCATAAAGCAATACAAAAACGTGTCTGGGAGTGCGTAATAGCAGAAGTTCACATGGATGTACTCGAACTTCATGCTATGCACCAGGCCAGATCCTTTAAGTAAAGCTAAATACTGTTTATCGTCACCCATAAGGAGAAAACCTACTTTTGCATCCAGATCAGGAAGGAGCCGGCCGCCGAGCTCCTCCCCATATAATCATGCCCAGTGGACTTCACAACCAACCGGAGATTATGTGAGGCAGCGAATTTAACCGCGGTCTGGACATCCTTAACCGACTCCACCTGGACGCCGTAGACCGACACCCGCCCGCGATGGCAGACAGCGAAGCGTCCGTCGGCGGTCTCCAGAGCACACCGTCCATTCTCCCCCGCCTCTTCCCAGTTCTCGGACTGCGTCGTGCCGGGCAAGTCGCGGCGGTAGTAAGCGTTAGAGCGCGATGTCTTCATCTGGGAGCAGGCGGTGATGTTATAACCGGCGCCACGATAGCATGGATACCCTGGATAATACGCAACGGTTACAAAACGGCGGGGATTTTCGGTTGCTCAAATTGAAGTTAACCTGATGGCTGTGGTTGCACCAGACGCCCGCTTAGGGAAGCGTTCAATCCGTTCCACTCCTGCGCTGTCGGCCAACACGGCGTGTCCGGCATGCAGCGGCATCGGGAATACGGACGTTGGCTGTTAATAGCCAACGGCCAGAACATTATACCCAGAATCAAGAAAAAGCTGTTCATTTTGCTGCGATAGACTGGTGTGACGCAAAAGTGTTCGCTTTAACTAACAGTGTGTTAGTTTTGTTACTGCAGTGCTTATTGCGATGCGAAAAGTAAACTGCCGATAAAGTGGTTATACATGTAGAAGCAGAACGGTTTCACGGTCGCTTTGCCAGTCGCTGCTGACATCGTCATTGTGCCGATAGATAAACGCTGATTAGGCCGATTCGATCAACAATGGTGTGTGTTTGTTTTGTCAGGAAAATGTTGATTGATCAGCCGGCACGTGTACCTGTACGTACTAACTACACTATACATGAACAATCTTTGCATAAAACTTTCTTGCAGTTATGCACGCGTATACGCTATACAGTACAGTACTTTAATTGAGCTGAAACAATCCGTATAATATCGTTGTTATATACATAGGTATGCCATATAACAAAGTCGTTTTCTATACCTAATTGATTATCCTTCTTGTTTAGGTTTTTAGTTTAATGCAAGGCTTTCAGGAAATTCATAGAAATTTTAGCGGAATACGGTACAATATCGCCACATTCTCCAGTTATAGTATGTACTACAGTATTCCCAAACTTAGCGGTCAGATGAGAGAACCATCGGATCGCTTACAAATTCACCGCCGGTTAGGTTATTCGGTCTCGATTACAGTACAAGTTTCAACGATGCGACTAGGAGATCGCAACTCGATTTGCTTTTACAGCGCTTCAAGGAAGCTGTCGGCCATCAGTAAATAAGAGAAGAACGTAAGGTCACCATTACCAATGCTAGCACCGGATAGCATACAGTATTAGGCGTTCAAATCGTCCTGTACGTAAGAAAAAAAGTACCACAAGTAAAGTCAGACCCAGAAACATTCTGGTTAGTTCCCATAAATCTTCTCAGTCATGCTGCCCGCTTTCATCGCAGTAGCCAAATAATCGGTGGCGCAGATATTTCGTGGCTTGCATTTCGCCGGTCTCCTGTTTCAACTTTGATCTTTTTCGTCAGTTATCAGGCAGGCGAATCAGACTGAATCTCTAGTCCCCACGGTTCACGGATTGTGAAGCCCAACGGACGCAGCAGATAAGGTCGTCAGTGCGGCTGCGGTGTCTGGTGGTTTGTGTTTCGTACTGCTGCGTGTTGCTGTTGCTGCGCTCGCGCCCAGATGGATACACCGCTCGCATGTGGCTTGCTCGAGAGGGCCTGCATGATGCCGCAACAAGTAGCGCGAGAAACGTCCAAATTCGCGGTCACACCAGCTGGCCGCTTGCCATCAGTTTAGAACATTTTGTGACTTAAATTCCCTTTACACACCGCCAGGTTAACAAAGTCACACCCTTGACTCCTTGAGCATGTACCTACCAGAACTTTCAAATGACATTAATGACCGTTTGAGCACACTGCATGGTTGAGCAGACTTTTGGCATTCGAATTGCGGTTACTGTATCTTTTTGTCCTTTTGGTAAGCTATGCGGGAGCGTAAAACAGCAGAATTAAAGTAATGATCAGCAGGCAAGGCTGTGGTTAAATTCATGGCAACCACAAACAAACACCATAAAAAGCGAAGTCCTTTAACGCTAATTAAATATATATAAAGTAAGCACAGCTTGCTAACAGGCCAAAAGCAGTCTAATTAAAAATCAAACAAGTCTACAACACCCGGTGTTCCCAAGCGGTCACCCATCCAAGTACTAGCCGGGCCCGACGTAAGTTATCTTCCGAGATCGAACGGAATCGGGAGTTTTCGACGTGGTATGGTCGTAGACGAATGCTTAAATATTTATAGCGCCGGTTGTGATGGCAAGCCAAGCCGGCACAATTGTTAAAAAGCCATTTTAATTAAATACATTTGCGTGAATAATTGACAAAATATAAATAAAACAAGTGTAGTTAGCTATTAAACCAGAAAGCCGTTTAGTTAAAGGGCAAAAAGTCTACAACACCCGGTGTTCCCAACCGGTCACCCATCCAAGTACAAACCGGGCCCGACGTCGGTTATCTTCCGAGGTCGAACGGGATAATACGGGAGTTTTCTACGTGGTATGGTCGTAGACGAATTCACAGAGATTTACAGCACCGGTAGCGATTTATAGCGTATCCAAACGTCCTATAATTAAATACATTTGCATAAATAACAAATAAATTGTTTGTCATCCCACTATTACAATCGCTCATGGTGTTTGGTGACCTTAATGTTATTGTTTATCGTCGAAAACGTTTCTACACGGTCGGTCGTTCATGTGGCCCAGTGGGATTTTGTTAATTACAACTTGTTCAGCTATCGGTATATCCGTAACTGTTAGTAAATCTAGCGGTTCTAGTATAGACATTTGTCCTACAAACACACGTGTCACACTTGAAATTACAGTTACATTTCATAGTTTGTGTTGTTAAACGTATCTTTATTAAGTGGTGATTTACATTCCGGGAATGCATTTTTATAATCGTAACACGCAGAAATTTCCTGCATTAGTTTTCGAATGTAATGCACGAACGGGTACCGTTTATAGTAAGACGTGTTTTCCTTCCATGCAGCACATGGATTGTACAGTACACACATCTACGCCTTGGGGATAAAAAGCGAGTTTTTCCGGAAATCGTGAAAAATTAATATGAAGAGGGATGTGTATCGTTTCCGTGTTTCGCAGACAGTTGTCGGTTAAGAACCTGCTGCGTAATCTATCGCATTACAACGTTGGTAGACGTGTAGCTGCTTGGTACTGCATTTATGAGTTAAAATCAATATTCGTGGATCAGGGATTTTATCGCTTCATCGTGGAACGTTTTTATATAAAAATGTTTTTCCAGTATTCTATTTTCCTGGCGTTTCTATCCATAACAGCATGCTGGGCAGCCGGAAGTGGTACGTACGGTATATAAATGTTTCTAAGTGGAGGATAAAATTACTGAGAATAGTGGAGTGGAAATTTTAGTAGCCGCTAAATTGGTTACAATACATACGTATTGAATTTTATTCCACTAGGTAATCCATGAGATCTTGGTTAATTTTTTGATTTCTTTAATTTTCTGAGTTTGGACTATTTTCCCGAATTGAAAACAAATTACAAATAGCGTTTTCAAGTGTATACTGCAAACAGCATTCCCTCGTTTTGAATAATTTTGCCAAATGTTTTATCAGCTATTGATTATCGTGCTGTATCCGCGGTAAAAACATGCTGTGGATGTGGAGAAAAAAAACATAGACATATCAGGGAAACATTAATAGAACAAAAATAAGGAATCACATTAACAAATATGAGCACGTGAATTTTCGCTCATTTTTCGCTGTTATTTTTTGGCAGCTTTGCTGTGACTTTGATTTGTATAAAAATAAATAATTAACAAATTTGTTAAAGTTATTACTTTCCGTAGACACGAAAAACACCACCCGCAAGCACGGGCCCATCGACTGCGCCGCCCTGAAATCCGCCTCCGCCGCCTCCGTCGACGTGTCGGACTCCTCGTGGATGCCGGAATGCAACAGCACCACCAACCAGCTCCTCCCGGTGCAGACGATGCGCAACGGACAGAAGTTCTGCGTGGACCTGTGGACCACCGGCGTCCTCCTCGGACCCACCTCCAGCCCCACCCTGGTGTGCCAGTGCGCACAGGCCCACAAACGGGCCCGTCTCCGCAAACAGGGCTACCAGCCGCAGTGTAATCCGTCGAACGGGCAGTACAGTGCACAGCAGTGCGATACGGTGGAGCGGAAGGAGTGCTGGTGTGTGGACCCCACCACCGGGGTGGAGACGGCCGGGAGTAAGTGGGCGGTGAAGCCGGAGTCGGCGCAGGACAGCGGGAAATGCGGGGCTAAAGCGTAAATGGAACATAACACGGCATTTTGAAAACGTTTCGTGATAATTTTGACAGTCTGTGGGCTAAATCGGCACTGCTCTTGGAACTTGCGTGCGACCTTTCACTTCCGGTTGTCTGCCGGTGATTTATACGAGTCACGTGGTTGTGTTGAATTTTCTGGTGACGCGCGTCTTAAGATTTCACATGTGCGAACAATTAAAAGTATCTTCTTGGCAGTTTTTATTGGAACGTTCACAAATTATATATAGGTGTGCAAAGTAGGACTAAAAAAAGTACATAGTATATGTGTCGTTTTAACGCATCCTGCGCAAAAAATTCTTCTGTTGGAAGCCAGTGCGGGCGATTTATGCGCATTGAATATGTGCTCCTATTGCACACTGTCTGTAGATTTTAATCTTAAATTTCTGAACTGCGTACTGATTTCCACTTTTTTAAAAAATAATTGTACAGTTTAATGTACAATATTCATTGACCAGTAACTGTTTTCATAAATGTTCGGTTATCTGGACATCAACCCAATCTGATACAGATTTAATGTTTTCTTGTTCTAAGCAAGGGAATTTGGAAATACCCATACAATGAATGAAATACTCTCATTGATTAAGAACATCCAGGATATGTGCCAGCGCCGCCTGGTCCGCCAGGATCTCCTTATGTCCGACGCCGGGAAAGCGCGTCACCCGCACCCGCTCCGGATGCTTCTTCGCCCACTGACCGCACACCTCCAGACTGATGTCGTTCACGGACCCGTCGCCCTGGCCCAGGACCTCTTTGGGTGTCAGATCGGGGAACTGGTCGTCCCGCTCGTAGTACAGGCTGGCCGGGGTGGGGACGCCGGTGCCGTACAAACAAAACATCTGTTAAAAATCGCCATTTGTCAAAGAGCGGGGCAAACGACCGCAACCACACACTAGCGAAACCCGTTCCCATGCATTTTTACATCAGAGATTATCACTGAGATACAACGGGGAAACTGAGTTTTAGTTTTGGAAACAATCGAAGGAGCAGAAAAGTTTAATGAACTTTTTATGTTATAAAAATTGTGATGTTCTTGATTAATATATTTTACGTCATATACAGTAAAATGTGCATACCACAGGTGAATAAAATGTACCGGAAAATTACAAGCCATAATTTATTATCTTCGTAATAAATCCAAGTAAAATTAATCAGGCGAAAATCAGCGCAGCAAGAGTTAAAATTCCATAGTCAAGTTTTTACCGGTATGCTAGGCGGTTGCAGTTTCAGCAGGCCCTTGGTGCGGCCGTACATGTCCCACACGCTGCGGTCGTTGATATCGTCAATTAGTTGGTCAATACGTCCAACGGTGTACTGCTTCCCCGGCCGCTGCAGCACCACGTACGAATCCGGCCAAAATTCGCGATTGGGAAACAGAAAGGTGGCGCTGGGATTCGTCCGCTCTTCGGCCCGCACCATCAACGAATCGACGATGTCTTCGTTCAGATTGTCACCTGCATTTCCAAAAAGAACATGAATATTAAAAAACGTTGTATTAATGGAGAGCATTCATGAAGGATTGGTTACCGGAAGTGACCGCTTTTATGGAGCGGATCGCACCCGCCCAGGGGGCGGCGATACTAACGAAGCCTTTGACATGCTTGGCCGTCCATTCTGGTGTTTGTTGTTGCAGAAAATATAACGTATGCAGGTTGCCCAGGGAGTGGGCGATAAAGGTCACGGGGGTGTTCTGATTACGGGTATGTGTCTCTTCAACGAGTTTCTTTAAGGCTTTGTAGTACTCTGTTTGCTCATCTGCAAGGATTGTAATAAGTTTATGTAAACGTAATTTCCGTTTGCTTATGGATTAATTTCAGGGTTAAATTTTTTACAGGACGTTCTCAAAACAAGTGGATATGTAATCATATGTTTACCGGGTGCTAAACGGAAATCATATGGCGCGGCGCGTATCGATATATCCCTTTCGTAGCCTTGACTAACCAGCATGTCCGCTACGTCTTTAAAGTACCTCGCTGCAAACAAATAATTTAACAAAACGTTCCTTCGTTACTGAGCGTTTTGCGCTGCATTTTTTTGCAGAGGATAAAATTTTACAGTACGTGTACGAATGCACGCAAATCAAAACAAATACTTTGTAATAAAAGACCAGATGTATCTGTATAAGTCAGAAAAATACATATTCCTTGCGTTAAGTAATCATGATCATACGCATCCGTAATATCCCGTACAACTGGATGAAAACAGCGGCATGAGGATGATAAGAACTTAAGAGGAATAGAGTACCATAGGGGTATAGGTCCTTGCTGACATACTCGACCGCCAAGCTGCTGCCGAAACCGTACACGCGGACGTCCACTCCCGGTGCATTTTCGGAACGCCGGCTCACGTTGTTGTAGTGCAGCCTGTATGGACCGGAAATAAGTTTTAAGTACTCGTACTGCTCATTACTACACGTGCACGCCGTACAAATGGTCCATAATAATTAAAGTTAACATAAATGCCAAAAGGTCCGGAAGCGGAAGTCTGATTTCGTTTGGTTTGATATTTTGCTTATACCAAAAATTTTGATCATACGCGTAATTTCTTAATGCCTTTTGCTGCCAAGCGGTCAGCGCCAGTCGCCCGGCACGTCCCTCCGTGCAGTAACCGAGCCCGATGAAGTTCACATTACTGTTGGTAGTTAGTACATACCTGGATGGTGGACCGACATTTTGCCTTTTACATAGACCGCTTTTTGCCCTGTTAGCTAACTGCACTTTCAGTGCGTATTTATAACTTATTAATTATTTATGCAAATGACCTTAATTAACAACGCTTCTTAATAATTGTGCCGGGTAATTGACTTGACATCACAACCGTCGCTACAAACGTCTAATCATTTGTCTACGACCATACCACCTAGAAAACGTTTACCGCTAAAGAATACGTGCATAGTGCGGCCAAGGCATAACAATTATAAGCCGAAGAGAATATTTTTATTGCAGTTAAATCTGTTCTTTTTATAAACCGTATGCGTGTTATTTGGCATGCGCTAATAAAAACGCATAAGGGTTACAGATACGCTGCTGCGAATATGCTATGTGCATTGCACTATGCAGAAATATGGTGGTGCATTATTACATATACCACGGTACCCGTTACTATTACACTCATTTGTTAAATGGTATGGTCGTAGTAAGATCCCAGAGTAGGGTATACATAACGCCGGTTTTATGCTAAAGTAAACCCGGCACCATTATTAAAAAGCCATTCAATTATTAATAAATTTGCGTGAATAATTAAGAAAATGAAAATAAATTAAAATTGTTGGCTACCAGCCTAACAGGCTAAAAGGCCGTCTAGTTAAAAAGGCAAAAAGTCTACAACACCCGGTGTTCCCAAGCGGTCACCCATCCAAATACTAACCGGGCCCGACGTAGGTTATCTTCCGAGATCGAACGGGATAATACGGGAGTTTTCTACGTGGTATGGTCGTAGGCGAATGCTTAGGAATTATGACGCCGCTTGTGAGGCCAGGTCAACTCGGCACAATCATTAAAAAGACGTTTAATTAATACATTTTCGTGAATAATTAACAAAATATAAATGAAACAAGTATTGTTAGCTAACAGGCCAGAAAGCCGTCTAGTTAAAAGGCAAAAAGTCTACAACACCCGGTGTTCCCAAGCGGTCACCCATCCAAGTACTAACCGGGCCCGACGTAGGTTATCTTCCGAGATCGAACGGGATCGGGAGTTTTCTACGTGGTATGGTCGTAGACGAATGCTTAGGTATTTATAGCGCCGCTTGTGATGCCAAATCAACCCGACAGAATTAATAAAAAGCCATTTTAGTTAAATAACTAATAATAAACAAAATTTGATAAAATAAGCCTAGTTAGCTAGCAGGCTAAAAAGCCGTTTAGTTCAAAAGGCAAAAAGTCTACAACACCCGGTGTTCCCAAGCGGTCACCCATCCAAGTACTAACCGGGCCCGACGTAGGTTATCTTCCGAGATCGAACGGGATCGGGAGTTTTCTACGTGGTATGGTCGTAGACAAATTCCAAGATATTTACAGCGCCGGCTTTGATAGCCTAATAAGGCCCTAAGCAAGGTACGAGTATATGTCTTTATTAAAGTCGGTATTATTAGAACTATTTATTATTGTTTAGTGTATTAATCTCGGTGTATGCGGTGTTCATGCCACATTGTATTAAGATGGTGCAACTGCGCTGCCTTATTTAAGTTTAGTCAGTAAGTACAAGCAAATATAGGGAATTAATAATTATAATCACAAATCGTTATTGCCGCTTACAAAGCAGTAATTATTGTTAAAAGACTACAATTTATTATTAGTATATTAATTTTATTATTTTAGCATATTTGGTTTATTAATATTTATTTATTTTTGGATTTATTTATTAATAGTATAGAAATAGTTTAATTAAAGTACTGACTTCATGTTGTCCACCCAGCATTCCAGTGCATAAGGCAGCAGCAAGTCCACATTCAGCCATAAATCAATGTAATCCTTGGTCTGTTTGGCGCAAAACAAGCTGACCGTGTTGGGTTTGTTGAGTTTGGCCTGCAGCCGACTTCCACCGACTCCCGGCACTGACAATTTAATAAACATAAATTACAACAGCAGCAAAAAAATATGAACTGGGCTTCAGGTATGAACTCCATATTAGCCATAATTTTTTTACCTAAAATAACCGGACTGCGCAGAGGTTCCTCTGCCTTATTCCCGAATATATCGCCCCAGATGTTGAAGGCCGGATTGCGTAACACCACGGCGTGGCAATCATGCAGCAGTATGTAGAGAATCAACGGGAAAACAATGAATGCTCCAGCTGATCCCAGACACACTCTCATTGCAATCCCAAATCAGGAATTGTACGCAGTTTGAAATTCTCGATAGCAGCCGTTGTTACAGCAGTATGAGCAAACTAACAACTAGCAAAATAGAATTTCTGCGAAAGCAGCTGACCGTTGGCGAGTGGTGTTCACGCGGTGTATACGTGACAGAGAAATCTTGTTATCTATCGTAGACCGCCCGCTGTGATGTGTACACGCTGGTCTTGACCGCGATCAGCGAATGCTCTCTTCCCAGCCTTTTCTTCAGCTGATTGCCCATTTCGCCTTCCTTGCCTTTCTTGTCTTTCCCTCTGAAGTTGATCGTTACGAAGATAGCGCGATAATCCTCGGCTTTTGTAGGTGACTGTTATAATGAGGAAATGGTGTTCTCTTAAAGCTCAATGGAAAAGCGGCGGAGCTTCGTACACTGGCAATTACGCTGACCAATGGCTAAGCAGTGGATGTGTGGGAATTGTGGCTTATCTATTGAACTTGCAAAGTATGTAGAACAGCAGGCGGGCGGGCGCCTTTCCTCTCTGTTTCCTTTTCCCTCTGCCTTAGCGGCCAAATGTCAAACAACCGCCGGAGAGACTTTTCGAAGGAAACAGTCTTCGGTGGTCGAAAAGCGGAGTAAATTTAGCGGGAGCAAATTTTACTGCGGTTCACAAGCCGGATAAAGGGTTCTGGGGTCAAAAAGCCGAAAGGAATTGATATTGAAGCGGATGAATATTCTTGTAGCAAAATGTACAGATAAGCAGTTCAGCGTGTTTTGGCCATCTGCTTTGACCAACTTGTTATTGTACTTACCATAAGCGTAGCACGATAAATTAGGCCCGTACAGTGATCTGGCGCTCTCCGGTCTTCCACCCTTTTCCAAACTGAACCATAGTAAGGTCCCTTGAAGCTCTGAATAAGCTTGAGCAAGTTCAAATGCTTTCTTTATCAGCTTCGTATTTAATACAAAACCTCGAAGCTAACATGCAGAGTGTGCTGGCATAAGTTAACTTCATTCAGTGTCAGCCACTACAACAACTGATCATGATAGCTTTGTGAATCGTTTTTTGTCGGTTTAAATGGAGATTGATGAGATGTTCCGAGCATTCTGGGTGCGAAACCCGTGCGACGTGTTGACCTAATCGTCATACTCTTGCTCTGGCTCTGATTAAACTGGTTAGTTTGTGTATTCTCGCGTTACGTAAGATTGTGTAATCGCCGGACAGGTACGGCGCGAAGCACCGTTGGCGGAAAAGAGCGTATGGTGATCCGTGATCGTGATACCTGCGATCAGGTGCCCTCGTTCCAAGCGTTATAATTACTGCACTGCGATCTGAGACTACTGGGACAAGGGCGCAAGTCCTTTCCGCCGTTTTCGGAGTATTACATAATTTAACGGAAACAAATGCACCATAGGTCTCGTAAAAAACCACATCATTTAAACTCGTCCTGAAATTTTGAACAGAATGGTTTATGCCGATGTTTGCAATGATCGTGTTCTGCTGCAAGCAAAAGGCACACACAGGTTTGACGATGGACTAAATATCTCGTGGCCCTATGTAATGAAGCCGGCGATTGATTTTTTGAGTTAAAAAATTGGCACCGCGACATTTCGCCGAGGACAACTAGTCGCAGGACTTTTGGTCGCAGACATTTCGTCGCAAGGTCATGTCGCTTGCATCAAAATGTCGCAAAGTTAAAATGTCTTAATGCAAACCGGAGTGTCCATGTGTCGGAATGTACCGCTGACTCCCGCAGCGGAAAGTCGTGCGTCGAATTTAACTGCGGCAAAATGTCACACTCCCAAATTTCCGGGTGCAAAAAATGGCAAAAACAAATCGCGTATGCAGAACAACGCTCCTATACCGACCGAGGGTGATCCAGGCACTGTTTGTAAATATTATCTCCTTTAACCGAAAGGCAAAAGATCCGCGGTATCGCTGCTCTTGGTTTTTTGCACGAAGTCAAAGATCCGAGAGTAGTGGGTCACGGAATACTAATGCCCGGGCTAGTCAGTGTCAGAAGCAATGCTGAATAATAATGTACACTATTTTTACGGTATCTCTGAAAATTATGGGAAAACAACCAGTCGAATAAGCATCGCAATGTACTTAAGGCTGCATTCTCCTAGAACTGGATAGTGACTTGGCTAATGCAGCACTCAACGGGCAGTGCTAGAAAAGTGGGGAATTTTGCAGCGCGAAAATGTGCTGAGTTCCAGTGGGAGCATTATATAGAAGCGTTTCACATCCGGTATCCTGGGACCTGGCTTGTGCTTCATGTACATGTGTAACGTGTGACAGCGGCAGTTCGATCATGCGGCACAATTAGTGCTACTAGAGTAGGTTTTAATAAATGATGGCTTCCATAGACGCTTGAAACTCGATGAAAAGAACCGGAATCGTAGACAAAACCGTGAACAGCAAAGTATGTAGGATTCCATTGCATAATTTGCATTGTACGCGAGAGGGATATGTCCCACAGTAGTTACGGTCAGATTGATTTATCGACATCGGGCAGCTTGTGTAATTGCGACAATGGCAGGTACTTTCCCTGTGATCGGCCGGAATGCCGCAATAACAAACAAACTGAAATTTCGCGACTGTTTTCCAGGAGGCCGGCGTTTGGCCGGAATACGTACCCTACTACGGCCCTACACGCCATACTGCTCTGCATACATTTGCTGTTGGTATCCACATGCCAAAATAATATTGGTGTATCCACCGCGTATCCATATTTATGGTATTTAACTTTTGTTTTCTGTTATGTTGTCTACAGTTATTAATTTAATATTGCAAGTATGCAATTTGTCATTGCAATAATTGTGGCGTCTAGTGGCCATCATTCTAATCGCTAATTCGCGCTCTACAAAGTACCTGTACCTTTACAGCGCGACGAGTAAACAGCGCAAGCATACCCGACAATCGACATGAACAAATGTCACCAAAAACATGATAGTTTAATATGACAGGCTAAAATAAAAACACTTTCTGCAGTTTTTCTGTGTCGCTGGCAAGATAAATGCGGCGGGAAGTTGTAACAAAGCTCATAGTTAGTACAGTACCAAAGGGTACGATACCTTTAGAGATACTGCATGGTTACGCCAGACAGGAAAAATTTTGTTGCGCGATATTTCAACGTAGTTATCCATTTCTGTCAAAATTCGCATACTGTAAGTACGTACTTTACTACAGTAGTTGGTTGGTTTCTGGTGGCGTTATTATACAATTACCTAAAACAAACTTCCCGTAGTGCAGTTTTCCGAATTTCCACTTTTAACAGAACTATATGTCAAAAGCGCAAACGCGGCCAGACTATTTAACGGTTTCAAAAAAGGTTTTAAGCGCAAACCTGTAGTTTTGCCTGTGTATGCATGTACAGTTGTGGGCATGCGGATGAACAATAATTGAATGCGAAAATGATAGTATCTCCGTACGTGTTTCTCAGTTTATTCAAACATGAAGATGGTTTTACTGGAAACGGTGATGCTGGTACATATTTACATTGGGCACTTATGTACATCCTGGATGAAATGCAAATGTCGTAAAAATAAACATGAGAGTCTAGTGTAGTGGCGGTAACGGCACTGCTACCAAGAACTTTGCTAGCTTTGAAAACGCTTAATCGTGAATTTTCAGGATGAAATCATAGCCAAGAAGCTTGCGCGGCACTACCAGCAGAATTCCGGTAAAGAACGCTTTACATTTCAAGTGCCGTGTTGTATTTGCAGTCGTCATCCGAAAAACCATACCTGCATTTTTAGACGCGATTTTTAAAGCGATGCATCAAACTGCGGTTATCACTGAGCACTATTGTTAAACTCATATTTGAGACCGTGCTGCCTTGACAAACCAGCAGGACGAAAAGCAGCTACGCATTTCATGAAGTACTAAAACTTGTACGTTATAACAATCATGTTATAGAATCTCAGAAAATCCCTGCGGTACTAACCATAATTATCGGGTTGTTTATTACAATTTAGATACTGCCTGTGCCAGATGTAAACTAAACTGGCGGCTGACAGACAAGCTATTTTACCGTATAGTTACAGGAGTTATATACAGGGCGCCATACACTTACAGTACTGTGCTTTTTCAGTATTTGAAATTTAACTCGTCGACACAGAAGCAGACAGCATCCTGACTTTGCTAAGCTTGATACGAGCTCTTTCGACTAAATTCAATTTATTGGCATCAAGAAATTAAACTACATCAAAATTTTAATTATAATATCAAAATGCGGCGCAGTCGTGGTTTCCTCAGGTTCTGCTTGTATGATTCAAGAATATGTTCTGTGTTCCTTTTAACATGGACATTTTTATGTTGTAAGCCGACCGCTGATGTCATATGTTTCGTTTTCTATTCGTTTGTACTGTGCCAGTTCAACACTTTGTAGCCATATGGAGTCTAACAGTTTATCTTAAAAAAAAATTACAGAATGTTTTGCTGCATAATTTGCTGATGAGAGCGCTTTGTAAATGTGTTCATTTTCATGCTCACTTTATGTAAAATCCATTAGTTACGCATCTAACAATAAGTACTAACAGCAAGTTACGTCGGAAGCGCTTGTGTAAAAGCACACTGAATTATAAAATTGCCGTTCATCCGCCCTGACGTATTTCTCTACGAGAAATTTGTCTCGCAGTGTTTTCATGGTACTGGCAGTTCGGCAAAATAATCGTACCTTCAAAACTATTTCATTAAATGGCAGTTCAACGTTTATTTTCATATATATTCAACCCTTGCTCAAATGAATGAGTTTAAAGAATAATATAATTTTTTATGGTTCAACATGAAATAACCAACAACGATTACCGGGTGCAGTTTGCGAGTACAGCATAAGCACGTCTGATCTTGAGCGATAGTGCCGGGAAAGCTTACGTAAACAGCATGTTCCATGGAACAATTTCGTGTTTCAAGATATTATAAGGCGAAATTCAAAAGTAAGCCTTACAGAAATCCCTGACAGCTTGCAACACCAGCGTTTACCAGACCAAAGTACTCATAATAACAGCAAATTCGGCGCTTAATACGGAACGTTCTTTCCGGTTATTCAAAGACCCTTCAATCAAGGTGACCCCAGACTATCGGGAATCATGCATTGTCCAGTACCAGTTTCATGCCACGAGTGCTCGTACAAGGCGTATAAAAGTTGAGTAAAACATCCGCTGTTTTCGAACTGTTGTTTTCAACAAGTAGATTTAACCCTTTCGTACATGATTGCCGAGTCGTTATATATAACAAGTTACTAGTTTTTCGCGGGCGGTAACGCTCCATAACTCCATTTTCTATGGCGACGCAGCTGATATTTGTGTTGACCTTTGCTGCCATTTTTCTAGGACCGATTTCAGCGGTAAGTGACAGAAAGTTTTGCAGAGACATTTGCATTGTGTTACTTTCTAAATTTTTTTGAGTAAACTGTAAATTTTTAAATATCAGTAGCTTTACCAGTACTAGTAACGAATGCTGTGGCGCTGGTTCAAATGGTTCTGGATCAAAATAATTGTCATATTGCAGTATCTTTGCGCTGCTTTTGGCACCATAGTTAGAAGAAATTACGAGTATATTACAAGCGGTTTTTTGCGCAATTACTTAAACGCGTCTGAAATTTTGTACTTTGCCTTTACTTCACTGCTTTCTTTGCCACGAAATTTTCGCTTACGATAAGTGCGGGTGCAAGTGCACATAGGTATCGTATATCTGTACACGAATCGTTTTGCAATGAAACGTTGCAACTGATAGAAAATACTGCGTTGGGAATGGGAAAAAGCAAAAGCTTTAGCTGATGCACCGATGAGCCACTCTCTATGAAAAACTGAGGAATTTTTGTAGTGTGACCGTGCATTTACAGTAGATAAATTAAAGTTTGTACTGCATAAATGTTTAACATACCAGCATTTCCAAAAATTTCACAAACGTATGCTTTGGCATGCTAAAAATGAATTGCAGACTGCAAAGTTATATTACAGATATAGAGCAGTGCTTCTGCTAAAGAAAAAGCAGCACAGATTATGAAATTCCTTGCTGATTGTTATTTGGGTTTTTTTATTCAGTTGCGCGTGGAACGTTGTCAGCAGGAAGGCGAGGGATGCGCGCGTAATGTATCAAGTATACCACCATGCTGTCCGAATGCTGTTTGTCAATATACCGATCCAACATTCGGATTCTGTCGTGCAAAACAAGGAAGCAACGGGTCACCATACCCAGCATCACCCACGAGGCAAAACCGGTCATTGGATGGAAGTGGTACGAAATAAAAAGCACAGATTATCGCTTAAAAACGTTACCTTCAGTTTTTATATGGCACATAAATTGTTCATTAACAACTTTAAAAAATATCTCACGACTAAAGCTTTTCAAGATTAAGCCGTGTACGATGACCTATGTACTTTGCAAGAAGCGCTGAAAAACGCCGGGCTGCATCTGAACATCGCAAAATGCGAATTGGTAGTGATCGGAGGGTCCGAAACCGATCGCCAAAGAGTAAATGACGCATTTCTTCTATCGTTTCCTGATTTACAATTGCCACACCTGAGCGCGTTGAATTACCTCGGCGCACCACTCCACGATGACGCGGTTGCGGGCACCCTAGCTGCTGAAACCGATAAGATCGCCAGGATGACTCAATGCTTAAACCTGCTCCCTGCCCACCACGCGTTGTATCTTTTGAAATGCAGCATGGGGCCAGTAAGAATGATCTACAGGTTGCGAACTGCACGGTGTTATTTTGCAAGGAGAGCTGTTGCGACAGTTCGATAAAATGATAATCCGTTGTCTGCCCCGAATTACCAATGTGAATATCACTGACGCCATATGGACGCAAGCGTCACTTCCGGTCGCACAGGGCGGTCTCGGAATTCGGAGCATTGAGAAGCTGGCCCTCCCGGCCTTTTTGGCCTCGGCTTACTCAGTAGCTAAACTGACCAACGAGATAGTAGTTTTCGACCCGGAAATCTACTGTTGTGGCGCCTTAGAAGACTGGCAGCGAACAACCGAAGCCGATCTCCCGACTTCCGAAACCCGAAAATTCCAGAAGACATGGGATGAACCGATCATCCGGGGCATGGCAGAAGCCCTGCTGGTGGCAGCCCAGTCGGACATGTCAAGTGAAGCTCGTCTTCGTGGTGTGAGCACTAAAGATAACGGCGCATGGCTGGAAGCACTTCCAGCCGCAACCCTCGGAAACTTCCTAAACGATACCACACTCAGAATTGCTGTCGGCCTGCGTCTCGGCGTACCAGTCACCATTCCACACCGTTGTAATTGTGGTGAATGGGCTGATGCGCGAGGATACCACGGCCTGAGCTGCAAAAAAAGCCGGGGCCGGAAGCCGAGGCACAGTTGCATCAATGCCACTTTAAAGCGCGCCTTCGCTTCCGCCGGTATTGAAACGGAACTGGAACCACCTGGTACTTGCCTTACCAGCGGGAAGCGCCCCGACGGAGTGACTTTGGTTCCTTGGGAAAGAGGAAAGATGTTGACCTGGGATGCCACATGTGTGTGCACGGTAGCCTTGTCACACATCGCGGCAACATCGAAGCAAGCGGGGGCAGCCGCAGCGCGCGCAGAGCAGGATAAAGTGGCGAAGTATCAGGAACTCACCCGAGATTACCTGTTCCGTGCATTTGGCGTCGAAACACTCGGACCACTCGGACCGGACGCCTCTCGTTTGGTCACCGAAGTCGGGAAGATGATACAACAGGAAACAGGCGAGGTACGGGCGATGGAGTTTCTGCGCCAACGAATCAGCATTGACATCCAACGCGGGAACGCGGCTTCTGTCATGGGAACAGCACCAGTATCGGCTAACTTAGACGAAATGTTCTGTGTGATTAGGCCGCCTATTTCCGTAGTCGGCTGAGGCTGTGCATTCAGTACAAATCTTTCACTTTTATAGGAAACTTGTGACTGTATCGTTTTGCCAATAAAATTTATATTCAATACTTAGGATTGCTTGGAATACGGTAACAAAAACATGTGGTCGGTTTTCTAGAGTGGTACGAAATGGGCCATATCTAACATGTTTGCCACACCGACACTAACCGTATTGAATAGATGTATCATAGTATTCTGCAGCTCGACAAACATACTCGTACAATGTTTCTTAAGAAGAGCTGTTTCTTAAGAAGAGCTGGATGAAGGAGACGATAAGAGCGGTGGGTACTGGTAGTACATGTACTACAGTATAGAACAGACAAGACATACGTACGTACGCAAGTACAGGCAGTGTGTGCATAGCGAGTTCATAATTTGATTTGATTTAAGCTCATGACGTTTTTTCTAAAGCCGCGGCCATTTTCAAGAAATAATCTCCAAGCGTTGGCGGAAACAGCTGACCGAAAGGATTCCGGGCTTTAGATTTGGCTCCGCGTGCGATATTAGCGAAATCCATAGCCTCGCATCGTTGATAAGATTTGCCGCTGGTCGCCTCTAGCACATTCTGAAATCTGGATGAGGCAGGTTCATATTCAAGAACACTGTAGTTTCCGCAAGTGAAGTAGTCTGCTTGCGGGTAGTTGAGGCAATCCGTGGATCCAGGCGGGAGTAACCGCCTGTACAGACGGGGCGACTTTCCATACCAGTCCCACAGATTAGCCATAGATGAGCAGCGGCACTGTACATCGACTGGGCACATCGGATTGAACTGAATATTCAAAAACGGACGGAGATCGTACGGAGCAACACTGCGCAAGAGCTGGTCAGTGATGCCGGTCAGGCTGTTTCCCGGCAAGCTCACATACTCGATTCCAGGGAGCGTGAAGAAATGGCTAAAATAGATGCTCTGAATGTTGTTTCCGCTTAGTGCAATTGTCTGCAAAACGCATCAAAAAATTTTTAATCAGTGGTTTTAGCATAATTGGCTAATAGCCAAGTACTCTATATGTGCACGTGCACGTCAGTCTGAGCAGTAAAAAAAGAACAAAGCAGTCGTTAGTTCGTAAATGGCCTTTGCGGGAGCCAAGCAAATTAGCAACCGCTCACCGTTTGGTATTTGTACTTCGACGTTTCTCGCCTTCCGGACATTTTCACAATATGGAATCGCGTACCGGACAACAGAGACGCGGTATTTTCCGAGTTGTTCCACATCAAAAAACTTGGAGAAGTTTTTTATTAATCTCGTGTATAAGCTTGTGCTGTATAAAAACGATAGTTGCCACGTAATCGATTTTTGAAAAAAACATTTGTCATGTAGAACAACGCGGAGAATATAAGTAGTGTCTCTGTTGTCCGGTACGCGATTCCATATTATTATTATTATTATTATTATTATAGCAACTACAGTAGCCAAACTCCATTAAAGGAGACTTTAACCCTAAGGTGAAAACCTTTGGGTTTTTAGGCTGTTGGAAAATTTTTTTGTTTAATTTTGAAAATTTTATACTTTTTTTGGTTTGATTTTATGAGATAAAAGTTACCCACCTAGGAATCGAACCCAGGACATACAATCTTAAAGCCAGACGTACTACCACCAGGCTAGGCAATTAACATTAAATAATTATTTGATTATTACGAGTATTATAGCAACTACAGTAGCCAAACTCCATTAAAGGAGACTTTAACGTGAGTGCATGTATGAATGAATGAATTTCTGGAAGTACCTACATCTACCGGTTTTCGTACATCTGCCAAACAATTTGTTAACGAGATTGGGGAGAGGATTTCGCTACAAACTGGCGAGATTCGTAGTCTCGAGTTTTGAAACAGAAAATCTCTTCAGGAATTCAACGTGATAATGCTGCTTCAGTAATCGGTACCGTTGAGAATATTGTTTTGTTTAACCGTAATTAGATCTGGATATTGTTATCACGCTATTGAAATAAAGTACAGAACTACAATCATGTCTGGAATGCGAAAAACGTCGTAGTACTCGTATGGACGCTTACTTTAAGGCTAGCAGCCAGCGGTTCGAATATCGTCCAGTCCACCGCTGTCAGGTTATTATCCTCCAACATGATGAAGTGGAGTCGTGGGGTGGATAAAATGCCTGGTATTTTGTCCGGAGCACGAAGCGACGCAAAAGCGTCCACAGTAATCGTTACTATCCGGTTGTTAGCCAACCGCAGTGTCTCCAGCGCAGCGAATCCCGCAAACGTATCCCGTGTTATAGACGGCAGGTGGATCGTATGGAGAGTCAGTTTCGTCACGGTGGTTTTGAAGTTCTTGAGGAAGCGGCCCACCGGAAACGGGCCATCAGCGGGGACCACCCAAAAATCGTACAACGCGATCGCGGTCAGATTCCGGCGATACGGTAATGGTGCGGAGGTGTCCAGCAGACAACTCGGCGGGCATTTGGCGCGGTCCCACCGGCCTCGATGGTCGATGTCGCCCAGCCACAGTTCAGTGACGTTGGACGGTATTGTGGTGACGTTGAAAACCGGCCGGTTACACGAACAATAATCCCATTGGGCGCTGCAAGCACTCATCACCAGATTATTGCAGTGGCCCCAGGTGGAAGCTGATTTGTACAGAACAAAACCTGGTGGCATCCCGTTCATAAAGGGCATCGAAGCAACCACCGGAATGATCAACATTATTACTGCCACAAACCACAGGCTTCGACTAGTAGTCGTCTGGTCCTTCATTTTTGGAGAGCGGAAGAAAGGTTAGCTGCTGGCATGGGGTGATCCGTTGTTTATGCCTCAGCGATGTGCACAGTTTGCAGTTGACCGATCCAGCGGTGAAAACCGTTTTCGTTTTTACTGTACGTACAGATGCTGTGGAGTGTTTTACGGCGGATCAGTCCGGTGATGAATGTTGTGCCGCACCATTCAGTCACGTTAAACATCCGCGTACAGCATGTTTTCGTTGCACCGGTAACTAAGGACAAGAAGACCTTGGGCAATGACTAATGTATCGGTTGACAGTAACTGGCATGACTTCAGAGTTTTAAACCAACCACTTCCGCAAAAAAATTATGAGCTAGAGTGCGCATCCGGCTGAGAGCATTGACTGGTCCTATAGCAATAACAAAAGATTTGTCGGTAACACAGCATCAGCTAATTAAGAAGTTTTGCAACTTCTCACAACGTTCTACTGCTCATACTTGTAAAGTTCAGAAATGCAGATATTTTATACTTGCATAAGTACAGAGTACCATGAGTACGTACTAACCAGGGCACATTTTCCGGGTGTAAATTCAAAAAAATCTCATCTCTTGTAAAAAGATAGTATACTACTGTGAGGAGAGAAGCGGCTCACGTAAAGCGACAAAATTTTTCAAATGATTTCAACGTATTGCGCCGTGGTGCAGTGGTACTGCCTACGCGGATCTAACGACGTAGCCGGGGTTCGATTCCCCCATCGGCGCCTTTTTCAGCCGTATCTCGGTTTCCAGTGGATAGCGCCCTGGTTTTACTACCATAGTACGATATGTCTAAAAAACTTATTCCATCTGCCATGGTCAATGGGCGTGCCCGAAACAGAATTTAACAATAAATTCTACACTATGCTGTAGCCTATGGGCAGTGCACCGCATCGTACTTTATTACGTTACCGAACAATTTGTACAACGCCAGTTTAACTTAAAAACTCGTTCAAAACTTTTATCTGTTAACTTTAACATGTTTATTCAAAAGTTTATTCAAAACTTTTATCTGTGGACGTCAAAAGATGCTCCATATCCACACATAGTTCTAACTTCTAGCGCTATGTATACTGCTTTGGATGTAACAACCTTATGAAGTGCACTGCGATCATTATTTACCGTTTCTTTGTAGACATGGTACAGTTTACAGTTTTTTCAGTAGAAAACAATTTGCACTGCTTTTTCTTTGATTTGCTGGACGAGTACTTAAATAGTTAAATTACATAGCCTCGTACAGGTTGTTCAGTACTGTTACAATGAATGATGCGGTGCACTGGCCAAAGGCTACAGCATAGCGTAGAATTTATTGTTAAATTCTGTTTTGGCCACGCCCATGGACCATGGCAGATGGGATAATTTTTTTAACCATACTACGGTAGTATACTATCTTTTTACAAGAGAGGAGATTTTTCTGAATTTACACCCGGAAAATGTGCCCTGGTAAGATAATGCAAGAACATTAACGAAATAACGAAATTAAAACAAAAATGCAGTAGGACTGGAGTACAACAGGCGGTTACTAGCGTTGGTAACATGCAACTTGGTACAGCGAGCCTCGAAAAACATGCCTTTGCTTGCCGATTTCCAAAGAAGGGCGACAACACTGCGATAACTGTTCTTAGACAAAACTTCACCTAACAATGTAATAAAAATGTCGCTCACCACACATAAACAGAAGAAAATGCATCCAGAAAAGGCAAAAGATGATCTAATGATCTACAACGCAGAACCCTTGGTAATCCTAAGGGCGGCCATCCATCCAAGTTCTAACCGGGACTGACGTGGGTTAGCTACAGTATATTCCAAAATCAACTGGGTTTGGCGTTCAGGTGTTTTATATATACGAGTATGTATATAATGTCGGATAGATTTGCCGGCATCCGATATCAGTTTAATTCCGGCAGTGACTGATGCACAGATAGGCTTACACTTAAACCTACTAAAAGTCTCAGCAACACTTGCAAAAGTAGAACTAACGTGCTAACTAACTCTGAAACGATATAGACTCCTTTTTTTGCACTAAATTCATTTGATTTACCCGTTATGCTTGTCAGAACGACAAACAGTTTCTATGGGATTTGACTGTCGCCGATAAGTTTCGGCAGACTTGTGCTGATCAGACGTCGGAACACTCTGGTTCTGCATCAGAAACGGCCGAATAGCGGACGTTCCCTAAATATGCAGGAGGAAAGTTAAAAGCAAGTTGCCAGTCTAGAGTGATCAAGACTGATACCGATATTAGCGATGACAGGGGAATTTATAGACTACGAGGAGCACTAGATACATCGCTATCAAGATGAGAACAGGCGAATCACAGATAGCAGTAATTGAACAACCGCAGTGACGTAGGAGAAGGTGTACAGTAATTATAGGTAAAGAACGTACGTACTAGCATCTATACACGTCACATGTGATATTTAAATTGCTGTTAATTTACGGCACATAGTGAAATGTTACTTTCAGACTTTCACCAAATACGAATGTACAGATAGTAGGCCGCAATTACCAAATTATCAGCCTTCCCGCGAAGCTCCTCCAGTAACTGGATCCCGCCCAAGAGGAGCGAAAAATGTGAGCTGCTCCGGAAATACAGACTGTAGATAACCCTTGGCATCTGATTAAAAGCACGGCAAATAAAATTTATTACAAAATACAGTACGTATCTCAATTCGTGTGTGCAGTATTCTTACAGCACCCTCGTCAAAAAGTTTGTTCTAAACTGTTCAACATACCTCAAATGTTAAGCCGTTTATCATAAAATGTGCCGACGGCATGATTTTGGCAGCAGATCTTATGTAATGATTTATATCAATACGAAAACGTATCGAAGTTACAAAATTTATTCGAAACTCGTATCCGCGTCTTCGCAACTGTTTAGCCAAAACGTTAAACAGAAGCAAACGTAATACAAGAAGAATAAAAGCTTTGTCGGTCGACCGACATGTAAACAATATCTCGCTCAGCAAGAAACAATTCCAGAAAAATAAAAAAAATAAACCAGCCAAATTCCAAGATTCTACACTACGAATTACTCCGCCCATGTTAATTGCCAACAGTCCCGACGCCGTCGCAATTCTGGTTCATTGCAAATAACAACGCAAGATATTGCATCTAAAGCAAAAGCTTTGTCGGTCGACCGACATTGATCGCCTCGCCACATAACCTAAAAAGCGATTTTGATCCATGTGTCGCCGTTATAGAGCATCAAAGCTTTTCTGCAGAACCTTGATAATTAATCAGTAATGAAAGGCATAGTTTCTGTGCAAGGACATGATCGGTCGACCGACAAGAATTATCCTCAAAAGCAAAAGTCGCAAAAACAAAAAAGAAAAATCCCAAAAAAGAAGCAAAAGTCTTTCGAAACAAAAAACAAACTGCTCCAATTTACCTAGTTGGAGGCAAAACGTTAACGACAAAATTTTGAGTAATACCTGACACTGCCCACGCGGTGGCTGTATTACCTTTGCTGCCGACTACGCTCACTGTAGGCTACTTTCATGCTGCTTCTGATTGGCTGTATGGCAGTTTCAGTGCTCACCGCAAGTTCACGTTCAGCGCCGTTGCACCCAAGCTGATTTTGACAGCCAGTTTTGGTAAAGGCAATTTTCGACTTTTTTGTAACTGTGCTTTTGAAATGGTTTCTGGTATTTTGTTTGAATCATTGACGTTTTTTGTTTTATGGCTGTCGACAGCCAAATTTTATTTCAAAATATTTAAGAAAAGCACTGCTAGTGTTGATAAATTTGCGTGGCACTGTCACACACGACATGCTTATGGAAGAAGAGCAACATTCGACACAGTCTGCAATGATGCGAGGACCCACAGCAATTTTGGATTCATTCTAGGGTAAGAGCTTATCGATTAGTTTCCAATTTAAACCCAATTATTGTGTGCGCTTTTATTTCCAGATCCTTAGGAGGCTCTGCTTAGATGGACAAAGTGCATGAGGACATGCAGTAAAGCAACAGGTAATCCAATTGTGTAGTAGAGCGCTATTTTCAGCTACAAAACGATAAAAAAAATTTTAGTTTAAGGGGAATATTAGACCTTTTTGTTACCTTAAACATAAGAAGCGAGCAGAAACTAGATTTTTTACTAAAGAAGGTTTCTTTAGGTATTTTAAAGTGCAGCAGGGACAAGTTCAACGTATTAAAATTTGAGTTGATTTAAGTCTTTTTTTCGCTTAATATTTGCATGTCGACATGCATATGTCTTTCTTATCGCTTATTTGCATGTCGACATGCCTATTTCAAAAGTGGCAGTCAGTGCGTAATTGGTGGTGCGTATATGAAGTGTCCATAACTTGTTTTTGCCATTTTTCTGATTTTCTTTCAAATAATAAATTTTTTAAAAGTAAAAAATAATGAATTAATGCGTTGTTGCTGCACTGTCCTGACCATTGCAGTTGGCTCATAAAAACAATACAGAATATTTATGGCAAAGTGTCCATTTTTCCATTCGATTTATTTTACTGACCGAATGCCCCGTTAACAAAAACAATAATTCTTAATTTAAGATTTTTCGTTTGAAAACTACATGTCGACATGCACAGCAATTTTGTTGCTGGTGTATTAAAAGTCCTAACACGCAGCGCTTTTCTGTAACGAATAACCGTACTTGAATGCAGTAGATCAGGAATGCAGCATCTGTTGCGCTCAAGTAAACCTTGACTGCAATTGTTGTGCATCTGAAAATATCTTATTGTAAGTAAGTTAACCATGCTGATGGTTTAAAATTTGAATGTTTTGCAGGGCAGATGAAGTGTTGCTCTCCAGGTCCTTTGCCAGACGCGAATTCACCGGGAAGTGCGTGGATCCATGATTGACCATGCGACATCCATGATTGTCCGTGCCATCGTGGCGATAATTGACTTGTTATGCAATTAGTAGTCGCTAATGCTTCCATGCTGGCTCTTTTGCAATTTCTATCGCTCTTGTCAGTTTTCCGTTTATGCTTCTGGCGCATTATCAAATCGGTCTTTTTACTTAATTATGTTGGTGTTTTCATGAGAAAGTATGTCTCGGATGTTGGCTTTTTTGTGCAAAACTAGTTATGTGAAATATACCGAAATAAATACAAAATGGTATCTGATATCCATATCTAAATGTTTCATATTCGTAAGTTTTATATAAAAAAGGAGGTAATCTGTAATATCTAAGGTTAATTCAAAAGTGATCATTAAACTATGTGATATTTCTGACGAGGGGCAAACGGGCACTTTTAAATTCAGATACAGTATATGTACGACTACCAAAGAGAGAAAATAATCCATCAAGTTGGAGCTGCTGCTCGATCAACCGTTCCTAAATCACAAGCCACACTGTAGCCACCTTGAACTTCGATACTGTAACGTTACGACAGTAAGTATTTAGCGCGAATTCCACCAGTCTCTTCTCTGCCGCTGGTACGTGAGTTGTTTATGTGATTGTGAGTTGATGCAATAAAGCATCTTCAGTGTTGGCCGACGTTCATAATTAATTACGGATTATAGCATGGTAAACACGTATGCTCGTATCTTATTGACATCGCTGCTTGTTAATAAAAACTATTTTAGCACAAGCTACAGCAAAAAGCAGCAAAAGTACAACAGTATCTGGAAACTGGGGTTGTTAGTCGTACGCACGATGTTGCTGGCTCAAGTAGAAAGTGACAGTCCAGCGTTGCGTCACCAATAGCATATCTGTGTTCGGTGAAATTACGATGGTTTCATCAAAGCCGCGGTAATTTTTAAAAAATATTCCCGAAGCGAAGGCGGAAAGAAGCGATTGATGGGATTTTTAGCGGCCCGTTGCTCATCGCGTGCCTTCTTAGCAAAACCCGGAACTCCACAACCTTCATAGGTTTTCCCGGTCATTGGCGCCATCGTATTCACTAATCCGCTCACGTCTGGCTGCGGTACACCACTACTGTAGTTCCCACACGTGAAATAGTCAGTTGAATCACGACAGTCGGCCAGCCCCGGCCGTAGTGCAGTGTAATAACGGGGTATCTTGAGGTACCACTCCCATAGATTGTCCATGGACGGACAGCGGCACAGGATATCCGCTGGACACAGCGGATTCCACTGAATATCCAAAAACGGGCGAAGATCCTGCAGAGCAAGGCTGTACAAGAGCTGGTTGTCGATGCCGGTCAGGTGGTTTCCCCATAAATACACGTGTTCAACGGCTGGCATGGTGAAGAAATGGCTGAAGTAGATGCGGTGAATGTTGTTCCGGGTTAGTGAAATTGACTGCAAAAGTATTTAACAAAGTTTATCTGTGTAAGGTTCCAATATGATGGCTGGAAGAACAGGCTATCAGAAACCAGGGAATTATTGCAAAAACCGTGAATCACCTTTACGGTTTGTATAACGCTGATCGGATGTTATCGTGATTTTTAAATTTATTTGCCGGAAAGGACGGATTCTACAGTAAGTAGCCTAGAAGTTATTGGTAAAAACCGTAGTTGATTACGGTTTATACTACGCTAATCGAGGCAAACCGTTTAGTGCACCGGTTTTGTATGCTTACTTTAAGGCTGCCAGCCAACGGTTCAAATATCGTCCAATCCAGCGTTGTAAACTCATTGCCCTCAAATTTGATGGTATTGAGCCGTGATGGGTTTAAGATCCCTGATATTCTACTGGGAGCGCGCAGGGACGTAAAAGCGTCCACTGTAATCGTCAATATACGATTATTCGTAAGTCTTAGATAGTCCAAGGCAAAAAAACCGGCAAAGGTCTCTTTTGTAATGGCCGGTAGATGGACAGTATGGAGAGTGAGTTGTTTCAATGTCGGTTTAAAATTACTGAGGAAGCGGCCAACCGGGAACGGCCGGTCGTGGGGAATCCAGAAATCGTGCAGTTCAAGCGCGGTTAGGTTCTGGTAATACGGCAAAGCGAATGTCTCCCGTACACAGCTCGGTGCGCATTTTATTGGGCGTACAGTCCGGTCGATATAAAAATCTCCGAAGTGCAAGTGCGTGACATCGGACGGTACAACGGTGAAGTTGACGGCAGGCTGGTTACATGAGCAATAATCCCATTTGGTGCTGCAAGTTCCGAACACCAGATTGTTGCAGTGTTTGGAGTCGGAAGCCGAGTAGTACACTACAGATCCCAGTGGCAGAAAATCTAAACCGGTAAGAAACGGCGGCCAAGCGGTAACCGGAATGATTGACAGTATTACGGTCACGGCGGACACAAGCCAGAATCTCCGGTTACTGGGGTTAGTACTAGTAAGATTCTTCATTTCTGCACAGGGGAATAAAATTTTGCTGCTTGGGTCAGCGTCTAGCTCACCGATGTGCAATTTGCGTTTGGTCGATCCGACGGTGAAAAAAAGCTTTTGTCTGTTTCTGCACAAGTATTATATAGTCTGTACTTAGTTGTAATAATCGGTTTGCGGCAGATCGATTTAATATTGAATGATGAGCAGCATCATGCGCCAACGTCAAACATCCTGGTTCAGTATATTTGCGGTTGCAGCGTTAATGAACGACACGATCACTTTGGGTTAAATGACTAATTTTCCACTTCACAGTTGGCAAGATTTCTGAGTTTCGAACCTACAACTTCCGCAAAACAATTATGAGTAAAATTCCGCATCTACCTGAGAGCAAAGAACTCTACTGAGTAGTTAAAAAGGCAACAAGTCTGCAACACCCGGTGTTCCCAAGCGGTCACCCATCCAAGTACTAATCGGGCCCGAAGTAGGTTATCTTCCGAGATCGAACGGGATCGGGAATTTTCTACGTGGTATGGTCCTAGACAAATGCATAGATATTTGTAACGCCGCTTCTGATGCCGAATCAACCCGGCACAATTAATAAAAAGCCATTTTAATTAAATACGTTTGGGTGAATAATTAACAAAATATAAATAAAATAAATATAGTTTGCTATTAAACCAAAAAGCCGTCTATTTAAAAGGCAAAAAGTCTACAACACCCGGTGTTCCCAAGCGGTCACCCATCCAAGTACTAACCGGGCCCGACGTAGGTTATCTTCCGAGATCGAACGGGATCGGGAGTTTTCTACGTGGTATGGTCCTAGACAAATGCATAGATATTTGTAACGCCGCTTCTGATGCCGAATCAACCCGGCACAATTAATAAAAAGCCATTTTAATTAAATACGTTTGGGTGAATAATTAACAAAATATAAATAAAATAAATATAGTTTGCTATTAAACCAAAAAGCCGTCTATTTAAAAGGCAAAAAGTCTACAACACCCGGTGTTCCCAAGCGGTCACCCATCCAAGTACTAACCGGGCCCGACGTAGGTTATCTTCCGAGATCGAACGGGATCGGGAGTTTTCTACGTGGTATGGTCCTAGACAAATGCATAGATATTTGTAATGCCGGTTCTGATGCCGAATCAGCCCGGCACAATTAATAAAAAGCCATTTTAATTAAACACATTTGTGTGAATAATTAACAAAATATAAATAAAATAAATATAGTTTGCTATTAAACCAAAAAGCCGTCTATGTAAAAGGCAAAAAGTCTACAACACCCGGTGTTCCCAAGCGGTCACCCATCCAAGTACTAACCGGGCCCGACGTAGGTTATCTTCCGAGATCGAACGGGATCGGGAGTTTTCTACGTGGTATGGTCGTAGACGAATGCTTAGATATTTATAACGCCGGTTGGGATACCCAACCAAGCCGGTACCAACACCACTTTTTCCGCTTCTTGATAAATAATGCCGCTGGATTTTGCAACGGTACCGTGAGTTTGTTTTTGATATGGCACATCATGAGTGGCGCACAAGTTGCACAATCATGCGGTCTGATCAAATTTAATATTCGTATGTGCACTGGTGAATAATAATTATCAGTATTATGTTTTTTAAAAATTTTGTTAAAGTTGTTGCTTTTTTGCTTAAATGCATTAGTACTTGTATCAAAATAATCGGTACTCTTCGCACTTCGTTGCACTTTAGAGATGTATTTGCAGAATGCTGTATTTTTATTAAGATATTCTTAATATCTGATGCTGTATAGTGTAACACAGGCGATCTTGCTAATATAACGAATTCCCGACGAAATTATGAACGTTTTAGTTTAAGTAAAACAATTATCGGGCACATGCACCGACGGCGTATATAGCATTGCTTCACATTATCATAACCACACGACTGCATCAGAGCTAGACACCGCTATCCGCTGGCTGCACTTTATTGCTTATCTACACAGGTGGCGTTCTTGACGTGACATTGAAATCATATGAGCGGCTAAATTTACAAATCAATGTAAACACCGTACGCGTACTTACCGCGTTTGCGCGAAACTCTCTTCCTGGAACCAGCTGAAGTAATAGGTATCGATTGCATATATTGCACCGCGGCAGCCGGCAAATTACGACCAGAATGACGTTTTCGGTCGGTACTGCGCCGCGGGGGAACTTTCCAGAATGTTTTGGTGCATCACAAGACGCATACTCGTTTGTGCGTTGCTGACTCCGGGAATAATATTCTTTGGCAGTGCGTTCTCCGTAACTAGTCTCATTTCACAAACGTTTGAAATTTGTTTAACTTTAACTACAGTGCAATAAGCTACAGTCTCAACTTGCAAATAGCCTTTATTCGAACTTGGAACAGTTCTTATTACCTTGGAATATCGGTTGAAAAGAAATCGTAAGTATCTAAATGTATAAGACAGTTTGAGAACTGAATGCCGTAATATACACAAAAATCTAGCTATATACGTAATATTAAACGAGGCGTAATAATTATACTTTTATTCGTTGCTTATAAGATGGTTTAACGTAGAATCACAATGGACCGGGATGCACGAGTTAATATCAACGAGCGGGACGATTTACGCCGCGCCTCAATAACATCGGAGGAGAGCTTCTGGGATCATCCCATCCAGTCTATCCGGGAGACCATCGGTCACGCAATGGACGCCGTGATGCCGCATATGGATCGTGGGGAGCGTCCGTACGACGAAGAAGCAGCATCACCCGACGAAAACATCAGCGTGGTTATGACGTAGTTGTATGGGACACCAGCAACGCTAATGTGTGATGTACAGATAAATAGCATTCGGTGTGATTATGCGGGTTAATTCATTTTGCTTTAATTCAGTAATACTTGCACGTCAATGCTGTTCTGGACCTTAGGGTTAGAAGTTTTCGCGATACGGAAATGTATCAGTGTACAGTTGCTGCATATTGCAGAATTTTTGACTATTCCTCGGTGGTTCGTACCATTCAGCGTGCATTGGTTTTATTATGGTAAATTACCAAAATAAATTCCAAGAAATCTGCAATATTATATTAATGTGAATGGAAGTGTGAGTATGAAAGCAACACTGCCTGACAGTACTAGTCTTTATTAATAATCAATGCACAAATCAGGTGGAAGAAAAATAAACAGAGTACATTATTCACAACAGCAAAACTTCATTTAAACTATCCACTCCGTCCATCGTGCCAAGGATAGATGCTGCATTTCCGCGCTGAATTTCCAGCGATAGCCGTTGACGCAGAAATTCATGTGATCGACTCTCTCCCGTATGCTGCTGCAGTCTTTTGCCCAACTCTTTCACAATGGCAATAGCCGACGGGCCCCAGGGGCCCATCGTCTCAAAGACGATCGGAGAAAAAATATAGCGCCCTTGCAGATAAGCATACAGTCGGGACTTCTTTTCTTCTGCTTGTACTGCAGCAGCACCTGCCGTGACCGACGTGGACTGAAGATGGGAAAGGGCCATTGTGTCGACGCAAGTCACATCCCAGGCCAGGCGCATCCCTCTTTTCCAGGCAAAAGTTGTACAACCGTCTGGGCGTTGATCTGTTATAGAGGATGTGCCGCGTGGCTCAAGCTTAGCCGGAACACCAGCTGACCCACAAGCGCGGCATATAATACTGTTTAGTCCTCCGTGGCGCGCATGTCTACCGGCTGAGTAGCTGCATGATAACCCGTGGTGTCCCAACTTGTCAACGCGTTTGTGGCATTTGGTGCAGTTATGCGGCTCACAGATATCGGCTCCAAGACGTAGGCCAATTGAAATTTTTATCGTTTCGTCGTCGAGTAGATTGCCGATGTGCGCTGAGGGAAGTGCGTTCAACCAAATGCCGGCTTCCGGTCTGGACTGTGCAAGAAGGCGGGCTGTGTTAATGTCGTCGTCGCGAAATAAGTCCAATAAAACCGAAACTGACACATTACAGAGCGGTAAGTCCCACGTTTTTTGTAGCTTTCGGAAGGCACCTTCTGGCATTTCTGATTGTCGGGCTTTGGATTTGTCGGGCTTTGTCGGGCTGCCTGACATAATGTTGATGTCAGACTTTTAGGAGTTCTACTGAAGTACTCAAAAACGAACCCATTACAGCAACAGGCAACAAAATTAAAATGAATGACTTTCAAATGCTGCTGATTAGACTCGGCATCACAACCGGCGCTATAAATACCTAAGCATTTGTCTACGACCATACCACTAACCACGTAGAAAACTCCCGATCCCGTTCGATTTCGCAAGATAACCTACGTACGTCGGGCCCGGTTAGTACTTGGATGGGTGACCGCTTGGGAACACCGGGTGGTGTAGACTTTTTGCTTTTTAACTAGACCGGCTTTTCGGTCTGTTAGCTAACTATACTTATTTAATTCATATTTTGTTAATTATTCACGCAAATGTATTTAAGTAAAATAGCTACTAGTAACTGCGACGGGTTGATTCGGCATCACAACCGGCGTTAGAAATAGCTAAGCATTCGTCTACGACCATACCACGTAGAAAACTCCCGATCCCGTTCGATCTCGGAAGATAACCTACGTCGGGCCCGGTTAGTACTTGGATGGGTGACCGCTTGGGAACACCGGGTGTTGTAGACTTTTTGCTTTTTAACTAGACCGGCTTTTCGGTCTGTTAGCTAACTATACTTATTTTATTCATATTTTGTTAATTATTCACGCAAATGTATTTAAGTAAAATAGCTACGAATTACTATGAATTACTTTTTTATATAAAGCCGTGACTTTTGCGCATTACAGAGAATTCGAGTCATAAACATTGAATAAATCGTTTTGTTGAGGTACTTGGCACAGTGACTGCAGCTAGTCCCGAAATACATACATAACTACATAATATCATGGTAATAAAAGTAGGAAGTACAAAAGCGCGCATTGCATCGGATTAGATACTGAACAGAAGACACAGGAACTCTACCACAGAAAAAAAATAACCGTGCAATAGAATATGCAAACCATAGCCGCCGTGCATAAAAATTAAAAACATGAAAGCCGGTACGACAACCCGCCCAATCAACAACTGACTAGTCCAATGTCTCCACAAAAAGCCGGTGCCAGTTAAACT